TCGCCTCATCCGTCAATTCAAATTCAAATTTTCGAACGGCCGAGAATCGAGGTTTTCACTTTCGTGTATACGACTTTGCCAGAAGAGGGGAAAAAATGTTAGAGAAAAATTAGAAAGCAAAAGTCAATGTGCTAAGCTATTGGACTTTTGATGAGCGATAGAACTATTAAGAATTTTCGGGCATCATCAGTGGACAAAGACAGTTTTTAAAAGCTCACACAGAGAGAAAAATCAACTTAATGTTTAAAAATTTGTAATATTTATATGGAAAATTAATAGTAATATAGTTAAACAGCATTCAAGATCAGAATATGTTGCAATACTACAATATTTCTTCTCTGAATGCCCCCTACAATGTACACCCTTTATTCCTCCTAGTGACTGGCTCGCCATCTATCTGTCCCTTTCGCTACTATCTACTCCCATCTCTCTCGACGAATCTTCAGCGTGTCATTCAAATGCAAAACCGCGTTTATTCAATCACTCATTCATGCGATTCAAATGAAGTTGGCCTGTGAAAGTAAGCCATGGCAAAAGTCCGAGGAACAAACATTTGTCCAACAATCCGTCGACAACGAATGGGCAAACAAGACGCGGCATCTGTCCGCTCACCTGAAGACTCACCTAAGTTGTGACAGGTCGTGGTCCATTCCCGCAGCCCTCCCCCTGACACCTACAGCTGCTGCCCCTGTCCCTGTCGCTGTCCCCTTTGAGTTAACAACAAAACAAAAAATGAAATCCCCAAGAGGAGGAGACCGGTGAATGCCCTGCCCTCAAGTGGCGACTGCAAATGAGTCAACAGCCTGGCAAACATGAATGCAAATCTGAATATGCAGAATACCCTTCACTGACTAACTTTGAACTGAGCCAGCTACTTCAGGTCTTAAGTTGAGTCTTGAAACTGTGAGGAAATACGATGGAGAGTGCTCTAATTTTGAAAGTTGTAGGCTTTTTAATATCTGTATATAGTTATATCAATAAGCATATTAACTTATTACCTCGCGAGGCCAATACCCTTTTTGAAGTTTCTGAATTTGTCCAAACAACCTAAGTGCGCATATTATTTAAAGTGGCCTTTAATGGACTGGGTGGATGTGGATTAACGACACTTGGCGAGTCGTCAAACGCTAAACATCAATGAACTTGGGGGATTAATATTAATGGCACTCCCTCGGCAACGGCTTTCTGCGCTCTGCTAATGACCAAATGCGTGCAGGTCTTGGCCAAATCGAACGTGGGGCTGGGAGCACATGGACAAATGGCCAATTACGATTGGCGACAACCGAACAACCGAACAACACACTGTTGGGTGGTGGGAAATAACCCGTTCGAGGCGATGGAAGAAAACATGGAAAAGATGAAAATGCAGCTAAAAATGTCGTATGTAAACGGTTGCCTTAATAATCGACATTGGTGGAAAGTTGCAACAGCCAGCCGGTTGTTGACCGCATCGATATATAAACAGATATATATATATATATACAGCGCCTTGGAGTCTGGAGTCTGGGCAAACGAAAGCAAAAGGATGGAAGGGGTTTCGCCCCTCTGAACCAAAACAAGTTCCCCCAGAAATTTCACTTTTTCTTTTGCCGTTTCTTGGTTTTTGGCTTGGGTATAGCTCAGTTTAAGATGGACTCCTTTGGAAATCAGCAAAAGCGTTGCTAATTAAAGCAATCGCAAAATTACACAAATAAATTATACCACAAAATAATGAGCGTCTGGTCTGGCAATGATTGCGCTGGACTTGCGATATATATCTGTTAATAACCCGAAGTTGAACGAACGGAAATGAATTGAAAATAGCAGGGAAAATCAAACATCTTTCCGTCCCAGAAGATAATCTCAATTTGATTGGCTCTTTCCCCCTTCCCCCGTGTCGAAATTAGTCACAGAATTATTAGTCAAATTGAAATCGAATTAACCGAAAATGTGCCAGCAACAAACAATCAAAAATTATGGTGAACAAAGTGTGGAACAAAATCGAAAGAAAGTTATAACAAGTCGAATATTGAAGTACGCTAGGAAATTTACGAAAAGTTGTTATGTTAAAAATATGTTTTTAAGAAATATTTAAAGATTTTGAAGATGCTCTTTGGAAGAAAATGCTTTTTGTCTTATAAAATAGTTTAAAATCCTAACTTTATAATCTTAAAATAATATATATAAATCTAGTACTAACCACAGAACATATTGCTACGTAAATCTGAGGAAACTAATTCCCTCCATCTTCTTAACATTCAGAATACCCCCCAAGTAGAGTATCATATATAATGCAAGAAATATTATGAAGCTCAGCGATTGCCATGCAATAATGAGCGAGTTTTCCGAAGGGGAAATCGGTGTGTGTGTGTGTCTGTGCAACTCCGAAACAAAACACAAATTTTATGCGGTTTTATTATTACCCATTTTTCAGATTCTACGCTGCGGCACGTCAGTTGATATGGGTATGGATATGGCCATATAGATATACGACTGTGGTCCGTTCATTTATCACGGCACACGCTCTGGAACCAAATGGCATGTGGCATGGCGGTACGTTGCACATAGAAACGCATTCGGTGGTTACAACACCCGAACAACCGTCGTAATTATCACAGCAAGTCGTATAATCAGAGCCAGCCCCCAAAAAAGGGTTGTATAACTTAGGCAAATCAAGGCAAATGATATATCGCGTTTCGCGGAGAAAGTCATCAACTATTTTAAGGCAGTTTCGCCATGGCCTACGGCTTGGAAGATTTTCATAGTTAACTAACTATGTTCTTTAAGGCTTTGTATAAGAAAGTAACCCTTTTGATGTAAGAAATCGAACAAAAAGTTATGGTAATTAGAAATATTAAGTAAATAATTATATATAAAAAGGTTTATATGCAAAACTGTGAATGTTCTTGCTTTTAAGCAGGTTTTTTTTGAGAAAGAAAATGAAGGTTCTGATGATATACATCTTAAGAATGTTACATCTGTTAAGTCAATGATTTAAATCGACATTATATTCCTCAAATTTATTAGTATACGAAGTTTTCCTTGTAGTTATATAAAAATTGTTAGAAAAATAAGTACTTAGTACCCCATTTTCATAGATAAATTGCATAGCTTCTAAGTAGAGTTTTGCATTTCTACATTCCTTACAGTTGTGTTCTTCTTTTCCTTTCAGAACTTAAAAATTTAAAATCAATAAACAAAACTTTACTGCTAAATCTGCTTCTTTGAACTACAAACCTGATATGTTTTCCATACACACTTCTCTTAGTTCTTTAGAGCTTACCGCAAGGCATTTCCTCAAGAGGTCTGCAATAACCTGATTGGCCAGCAATGATTGATCGATTGATTGAATGATTGCACTGACACACGCACACTCACAGAGAAAAGCACATGCTTGGCAGAAGATAAAACTTCATGTTCTGTTTTTCAATAAGTTCACAAAATAAGATAACAAAAAAAATTACTTTCAACTTGCAACTGCATTTGCATCTTCTCGAAATGAAATCTTAGTTCGTTGCTTAAGTCTTTTGTTTTGCTGGCGATAAACGGTGTCTGTAAAAAGGTTTTGTTTTTTTCTTTTTTACTCGTGGAGCGCGGCACGTGCTGAACGAACAATGGTCGCGGCTTGTTTGAGTCGCAGGTTTCAACGCGGCTATCGGCGAAAGAGATGGCGTTGCAGTTAGCGAAAGAGACGGCAAATGAAGCCGGAGAAAGAGATGGCAAAAGCTACAGAGACGATACGGCGAAGATTTGGACCAGCTTGGCCAGCGGTCGACGAAGAAATGTAAAAGCCAAAAGCAGCGGACCCCAAAGAAGTGCCGAGCGAGAAAGCTCTCGGCCGGGCCTTCTTCTTGTTGTTAGCCGCTGATGTTTATATATATACTCTTTCAAGGGGTAACATAGTTATATTTATGAGGTAGATCTTTTAAGGAAAGCTTTTTCTGATTTTTAGCATTATAACTATTACCCTATCGGAAGGATAATTCTTAATCAAAACAATGATATTATTATATTTCGAAATAACAGTGTGTAAAGTAGATAAAACTACTTGTTCTAAAATATATATCCTAAAGCAGTTTGGAAAGAGTATCCGATATTTGTATCATAGTTTTCGTGGTACACCTGCTGTTGATGTAAACATCGGCTCATTCGAGTAATGCGCTTGTGTTTAGTTGATTTTCGATGCGCTTTTTGCACATTGCTAGACTTTTTCTTGCTCGTCTTTTAGTAGTTTTCAGTATGCTGGAATTTTTCTTCATTTGTTGCCGCTTTAGTGTTGTTGTTGCTGTTGCTGTGGTGGGTATAATTTTATTCAATAGAATTTATGCTTTTTTATGGTCAAGCTGGCGGCGCGTCATGCGCGGAAACCTCATCGCTAACGGTTGTTTATGGCCAGTTTAAGGTTTTTGTGCATAATTGTTTGGCTTGAGTCGTTCGTTGCTCTGGCTCTTTGGCTCTTCAGCTCTTTGGGTCTTTGCCTCTGTCGTTTTTACCTCATCTTACTGCAGAGAGAAGACCCATTTAAATGCAATCAATCAATGACTTATGGCTAATTAGCCACTGCAATTTAATAGAAACACGAAAACACTTCATTAGCGATGCCACTAATGAGGCAACATCGTTTTACGATGTGTTTACTTTGTCGCCCGGCCACTCGAACTCCGAACTTTGAACTTTGTTAATGCAACAAAGTGCATCGAATTGCAATCGATCGACATTAAGGCTTTATGGTGTGCTTACATCAAATTGAAATTTAAAGATTAAGCGTGCCAAATTGCCAGCAACTTAATTAATAATTGACACCACGATTGACCAATTACTTAATTTCTTAATGGATTTGGTAATGTCTAACCCATAAATCATGATTAGAGAAACTTAAGTTTGATGAGATTAAAATGTATCGTCAAAATAATAACTCTTAGCCTGCGTAACTTACTACTCATTACCATTAAACTATTGCAGTTTTTAAATATTAAATAAGCCTTAAAAAACATATTTAAAATATTCTGAGAGTCACTCACCTAATGGCCGCCGACTGATGACTCGCCAGCATTCGCATACTGCCTCCGAATCTGTGCTGCTGCAGTTGATTGTGGTGCGGATCGAACTCCGGATCGGGCGGATAGCCACTGGCCATATTCCTGCTGATCTGGCTGATGCGGCTCATACGGCTGGCATGCGATCCCCGCTCGGAATTGCACTTGGAGCCGCACAGTGAATTCTCGCAGAAGCGACAACACTTATTGTAGCTAAAGGTGGAGGTGCAGAGGGTGCAGAACGAGTCTAGCTGCGATTCGGCCTGGTCCTCCTCTAGGTCGGCGTCTTCGTTAACAGATGGATCCATTTCCAGGCCATGGTGATTCCGACGCAATTTTATGGTTTGTGTATGACTACTGTGATCTTCGTCGGAGCAAAAGTGATACGGTTCACTTTCGGTGTCTTCCTCTTCGCCCAAACTGCTGCCAGCGCTGCCATCCTGGCGTACAGTTCCCTGCGAGTTCCCGAAGCTGCTCAGCGGGCACGAGGGGTACCGGGTGAGGGGAAAGGGTCGTACGTTGTACTTGCTGGCCATCGACAGGTTCTCATTGAAGTAGATCACATTGGGCGATTGCGCTTGGCCAGGACCTGCCCTCTCCCTCTCCCGGTCCCTGCCCATTGCTCTGTCAATTTCTCGATCCCTGCTAATGCTGAGATCATGGTATTTCCGCAGGAATGCCGCATTACAATCGGCGGCAGTGTATTCGTGTAGTTTCTTCGGTTTTTGGGCGGGAACATGTGTTTGCTGAATATTCACCTTGTTGTGATGCGATATGCTGCTGTTGTTCGTGTTGCTGTTGCTACTGCTGCTGTTGTTGTTGGTGGTGGTGCTGCTGTTATTGTTGCCGCCGGAGCGCAGTAGATCAAAGAGGCGCTGCTTAAGGTCGCGCATGGCCTCATGGAGTTCCGGTTTCTACAAATGAAATGTAAACAATTAAATTGGCATCATGGTTAGAGTCACGGCTAAACTGTTTGGGAGCCATTGGGTTGAAAGGCTGTGCTAAAGCTTACAGCATTTTCAATTCAACGACCAATGGTCACATTGAACAAAATAAATAATTTTCATTTTTGCACGCAAAACACGAGGATCTTTGTTTTTGTGATCGATTAAGCTAAATTAAACCAGGTAATCCGTTAAATTAGTTATGTATGTGAACGTAGTCTGAACTAACTTTGTAATTACAGCGAAAGCTATTTAAAAGAGCCAAAGATGAGCAGCCAGCGCGGCAATGTAAGTCGCACACGTGCGCAGAAGCATAAGAATCGTCATGTCTTCAAAAACGATCTGCACGACAAGACGCCTCAGCAATTGCGATTAAATGCTATGCACGTCTCCACAGTTTGCCAGCGCTGCAAGGAGCAGATCGAGTGGAAAATCAAATACAAGAAGTACAAGCCGCTGACGCAGGCCAAGACCTGTGCCCATTGCAAGGAGCGTACGGTTAAGAAGGCCTACCATGTGGTCTGCCGCGACTGTGCCATCAAGGCGAATGCCTGCGCTAAGTGCCTGAAGAGCGCCAAGGAGGTGGACATCGAGGAGCCACAGCCAACGCCCCGGGAAGAGCAGCAATTGCAGTCCGAGATGGACCGACTGGTCAAATCATTTTCAGAGCGTAAGCGTCGTGCCTTCCTGCGCTACATGAAAAAGGGCAAGGAGAAGGAGAAAACTCAGGGCGAACCGGATGAAGAGCAGCTGGAAAACGAGGAGAAGGCCAAGCGTGTGGCACATACACGCGACGAGCTGCTGGCCAAGATCAAGCAGCTAGATCTTGCCGGAGAGGATGAAGAAGAGGAGGATGACTCGGACTTCGATTCGGAGGAGGATGAGGATGATTCCGAATTTGATTCTGAGGATGATGAGGACGACGACAGCGAGGATGAACCACAGAAACCCGCGCCTCAGAAGTCCACTAAAGCGAAATAAACTTCTTTTTTTAATTAATATTTTTTTTTGATCTTTGTGATAAAGAATAGAATAAGAATGATTTAGATTTTGTTTGTGGAGCAGAGAAAGATGACTCCCAACTTGATTCCGTTAAGGATGAGTCTTCAAAGTCTTAAATTAAAAAATTAAACAAAGTACTTGATAAGTTGCGACTTAATGAGCTAAAAGGAAAACGAAAACCAATTTGCTGAGCAGGTAGCAGGTCTCGGATTTCCTTTACGTGGGGGAGGGTAAGCTGGAGAAGCGGTTGCAAGTAGTAAACAAAGGAAGGTGACCAGCATTTCAAGATAAGAAGGTGAAATAAACACGACCAGTAGACTTTGATAGATACAAAAAGACGAATTGCCAAGACGCAAATTTATGCTAAACAAAATAAACCAATAATTTAAGGCCTAATAAATATTGAAGCCAAAGTGAGAGGTGTAGCAAGCTCAGCTAGTTTCAAAATCATCGAAATATCTTTAAAAGCTTTACCTGTATGTATATAAAAAGATTTCTTTGACTTACATACATGTATTACTCAAAAAGCTTTTACAGGTGGGGATATCTACTAAATTGTTATATAGCTATAGCTATTTTCAAAAAATTGTATAGGAACACCTACTTCTGATTCAGTATTAACAAAAGTGTATATTATTATTGTTTTTGCGGACTAGATTTATGAATGCTAGACCATTATTTTCAGTAGCTACTATATAATCTATTGAGCCACATTAAAGCTCTGATATTAGAAAAGAATATTTAAAAGCATGCTACAGTTTGTGCAGCTTGGACTATATTGTTTATTAAATGTTTATCGAATGTGTAGAGATCTGATTACCGGATTGTTTATGTGTCTTATTTCGAATGCTCGTCCGGGATCTTGAAGATTTAAAAGTCTTTCATGTCCCCCTCCGGAATGCTTCCATACATACGTGTGTGGCACATTATGTGTCTTATTTCGGCTACTCGTCCAGGATCCTCACGATTTTGAAGTCTTTCATGTCGCCTTTCGGAATCAGACGCCATTTTTGTTCACTGGCCAAATGAAGAACCTCAGAAAAGGCCGCAGCTCGGGACACTGGCGGTGGGTTCGCAGCCAGTTCTTTGAGGACACCTTTGAAAGTGGCCACTGCTGGTCTATGCTGCTCCAGGTCCTTCACCTTTTGCGAAGTTGACGGCATCCCCTCCTTGGGCACCATATCTTGCATAGAACTTGAACTGCACCGCTCCACTGCATCCACATTGTTTATGGATATCTCAATCATGGAAGCAACCGAAGCATCAGAAATATCCATTTAGTTGTTGTTAAATGCGAAATGAAAATACGAGTTCTTAGAAATTTAATGCTGCCCTCTAAACTACACGACGACGACTAAGCGCGCGAGTTAAATAACCGGCAAAAGCCCACTCAGAATCTGGTCACATTCACAAGGAAATTAAAATGTTAAAGCCGGAGATATTTCTATTAACTGTAGTGAAAGAGCTGTTTCTATTACACGTTGTTTAATTTTAAAATAGATAATTTATATGTGACGAAAAAGTAACTGTTTCGGTTTGAGACGCCGTTAAGCTTTAGTATCGATATAAACTGAGCTATTAAAATATCGATAGGATGCTTATTTTTTAACATCGGTGTTATCGAAGAAACTATTGCCGTTTTACCATCACTCGAACTTAACAACATTTAAAAATTGTATTGAGTTGAAAAGCGCAGAGGGATTAAAAATAGCGAATGGCGGACAGCAGGAAAGAGGCGAGACATTTCCGTCGTCAGGGAAAGAAGAAGGGACCACCGGCGCAAGGACATCCGCAGGAATTGTTGACCAACGGGCAGCAAACTGCAGCTAAAAACGCTGTCAAGGCGAATGGCAAGGCAAAGGCCGGCGTGAACGAAAAACTGACTCCCGAGGACGAGAAGGTACTGCGCAAGCTGGTCAACGATTTTGTCCAAAGCCAGGAACCGGAGCGGCAGATCAATGGTCTTAACAAAACTCAGCGCAGCCACGTGCACCGATTGGCCCATGGTCGCGGCCTGAAGACGATCAGCACAGGTCCCGAGGAGGATCGCGTTCTGACCATAACGCGTCCTCCACAATCCGACGGGCTCCAGCACTATCTATTGGACAACGCCAAGCTACCCATGAGTTCGGCGCTCCTCAAAGCTATCAGCCAAATGTACGGAAACGTGCAACATCGATTGAGCACATCTGTTCCGGACCGTAATCGTGCGAAAGAGCAGCGACGACACCCATCCAACTTCGGTCTGGTCGGACAAAGGCTTATTCCGCCGTTAATAAGCAACTGCAGTAAGCATTTTTCACTGGAGCGACGGTCCTTGCCCATATTTAAGCAGCGCGAAAACATCCTGAGAGTCTTGCAGAAGAAGCAGGTGACCAACATTTATCCTTTATTTGTTATTTCCTTATCGAAAAATCTATCCAATAGCCGTAGTGCAATTACGCGGCCAAAATCTCTTCAAAAAAAGACTAGGAGTTTCCTTCCCTGTAAAGAAGTCATGCTTTTCAAGCCTATTTAAATAAATCTTATCTGACGTTCCCTCAAAGGTTTTGATCATTAAGGGAGCCACTGGCTCTGGAAAGTCCACCCAACTTCCGCAGTACATCCTCGAAAGGGCCGCTGAGAATCGTGAGCCGGTTAGGATCGTAGTAAGTCAGCCGCGTCGCATTGCAGCGATAAGTGTTTCAGAGCGCATTTCCAGAGAACGCGGCGAGACGCCGGGCAGCACAGTGGGCTATCAGATTCGCATGAACAGTAAGTAACAGATGTCCACGAAATCGAACTTTTAAACAATCTTTATTTTCGGACAGGCAAATGCAGCAGCCATACGGTTCTCACGCTGACTACCAGTGGTTGCCTTTTGCGTGCTCTAGCCATGGATGGGGAGAATTTCTTTAAGAACACCACCCACTTAATTATTGATGAAGTGCATGAGCGAGACTTGGACACAGATTTCTTACTGCTGGCCACCAAGTTGGAACTGAAAAGGAATCCCCATCTTCGCGTGGTGCTCATGTCTGCCACCATGGACTTGAACGCTTTGTCCGAATATTTTGGTAAAGCTACTGTGATGGATGTGGAGGGTCGCAGCTTTGGGGTGAGGATCTTTCATCTGGAGGATATTCTCAGTGAGACTGGCTACCTGACCCAGAGAATGGAGCAGTTTTTGGGGGAGCCGACGGGGGACGAAACTCGCGAGGAACTACTGGCAGCCTATAACGGTGGTCGGACAATCATAGATCCGGATATCGACAACGATTTGATAGTTTCGCTGTTGGAATTGCTACTGTGCCGCGGCGACCCTGGAGCGGTTATTGTATACCTACCAGGCTACAACGATATGACTATGCTTTTGGACCGCTTGGATAGGGCTCTGCCGCGAAACCAGGTCAAAATCATGCTGCTGCACAGCCAGGTGGATAACAATGAGCAGCGCAAGGTCTTTCGTGTTTATCAAGATGTCCGCTTGAAGATAATTCTTAGTACAAACATAGGCCAGACTTCAATAACTATTCCGGATCTAATCTACGTCATCGACACGGGTCGCGTAAAGATGAGAACTTATGACCCGACCACGGATGCCTCACAGTTATGCAGTACGTGGATCTCGCAGGCGGATGCTAAACAGCGGGCAGGAAGAGCTGGACGCTTGCGGCATGGCATATGCTATCGACTCTTCGACAGTGATCGCCTGGCCAGGATGGATATGTACACAGTTCCGGAGATCAGAAGGCGTACCTTAGAAGAGATCTGTCTATTGACCAAGGTGGCAGCTCCGGACATGCTAATAGCATCCTTTCTAGCTAAGGCATTTGATCCTCCACAACCGGAGGCTGTGGTGCAGGCCTGTTTGAAACTGCAGCTCATTGGCGTCCTTAAAGAACTGGAGGAAAGGCTCACACCGCTGGGACACATCATTGCCGAACTGCCCCTTGGCGTCCAATTGGGCAAATGTCTGGTGTACTCTATTTATTTCCGCTGCCTAGGCAGCATGACCATCATCGCGGCCTATCATTCGGTAAGAGATCCTTTTATTCTGAACACAGAACGAGGTAAGAAATCTGGCCACCAGAACGCCAGACTCCATTTCGCTGGCGATATGATGAGTGATTCATTGGCGGCCCTTAAGCTCTACGATGATTATAGAAGCTTGAAGCGCCACGAAATCGATGACTTTTGTGAGCGTTATTTCGTGTGTCGCCATGCGTTGGATATGTTTGTCTCTGCAGTCGCTACTCTACGCGAAACTGTCATCCGTATATTTCGGGCCAATCAGACGATGATACGTTTGGCGTCCTCCTTTGACAGTGACACAAATATGATTCGCCTCGCCTTGACGGCAGGTCTGTATCCCAAGCTGGCTTACATTGACCGCGAGAGGAAACATCAGCTGATTTCTGAAGGAGATCCATGTGTTAAAGTTTCGAGGAACTCTTGTCTTCTGGGCCGAAAAAAACAGAAGAATTTGGCCACTGATTGGATCGTGTTCGTTGAGAAGACCCGCAATGTGGAGCAGATGTCCTCGTTGGAGCATACCACTTTGGTGAGTGGCTTGATGGTGGCTCTCGTAGGTGGAAAGAAATTCACAATAGAGTCGCATGACGACGGCGCACTCCTGTGTCTGGACTCTTGGATCCGTCTGCAATGTCCAACTGATTTTGGCTATAAACTTCGCAAACTTCGGAGTCTTGTGGAACGCGAGGTCGCTGAGATGGTTAAGACGCGCAAGCTTGACGGCGCTGCTGACTGGATTGGTCCGGAGATGCTTCGACGACTGATGCTGGGGGATGTGCCTTCAGTCTGCTTGGCCGAGGGCAAGAGTCTGCCCAGCAACGATAACTGTGATAACGACAATTAAATTTAACGCTTCGGATATCAGTTAGAAACTTCCATTCGCAGTATTCGCAAAACTTGTGCGTTTCATAAGCCCAAGCCAGCCGATCGTACCTGATTAGGGCAGATAAACTCATAACTAACGAGGCTAACGAATATTTCCGAAAAACATTTATGTACTTACATCGAATTTCGTTTATTTTGATAGAATTTTCAATATTCGTATACGAATTGAAGAAACCGTAGTTATGCACTGGCATAGTGTAAGAAACACATTTTTGGCTGACTTAAGCAGAAGCATAAAGCATTTAATTTGTAATCCAACCATTTGTAAAAAAAACCATCAGACTTCAAGATATTTTTTTAAAGGCTCTTCTCTACTTATTCTTTAAATAAGACGCAGAATATCTTAACCAAATTCATTGAATGTTGTGATACAATAAGGCGCCAATACGGAAATAGGGATATTATCGGATATTGAAGTATTTTTAAGTTGAAAGTTTTTCTAAATATTGTGAAAAGTGTCAATTCATCGGAATACGATTATATTTTATTTGTTTTATTATAATGATAAGCTGTAAGATATTTTATGAATTAAAAGCATCCCAAGGAGGAGGAAATCAGAAAACGCACGAAGAACTACTTTAAGCTCTGAAACGTACTGTAAGCACATCTTAGCTTTCGGAGACACACAGGGAATTAAAAATGTAAACCAAAAATATACATTTTGAAGATTGCATTTGCGAACACTCCCTAATTGCTGGGTGAAAATATGTGTGCCACAAGTGCCACGAGATGCCAGGGAGATCGCGACTCGGTGTCGGTGTCAGTGTCAGTGTCAGCGAGCCCAGTTGGTGGGCGTGGCAGTCCCCTGCGGTGCATTGGGCCATGGCAATCATGGAGCTAGCGTTTATGCTCCACCTGCCCCACCTGCCTCCTACTGCCCATTCAGGCGCAAACAAGAGCGGGCAAATAGATAAAAAAAAAATGAGTTAATTGCACAGACGACGCAGTCAATAAACCTGAAGTCGAGCTTGTCGCTGCTGCAGCAACAATGGCAACAAAGACACCGTTCCAGCAGCAACACCAGCAAAAGACGGCAGCTTACTTACAAAGAAAGTGAAATTAATTTGTTATTTTTCGGTCGATTGTGGCTCTTTGAGCGATGCCTTTGAAAACTGGGAGAGAGCATGGCCAATCTCCACGGTCGCCCTACACAGTTGATGTCTTTTACTGCATGTATATGTATTTGCTCCCATAGAATGTTTTGTATGTGCAAAATAATGAATGAAAATACTTTAAATTTGATGTTTACTGTATGTTTAAAATAATCATAAAACAAAATATCCATATTGCTTCTGATTCCAAGACACCAATTGAGATGTATATATTCCAAGGTGAAGTTTTCATATTTATATTTTAGCCATGGAATTCAAGGTGTTCTAAGCATCTGCATTAATTTTTGTAATTACATGAGACATGCTTATTTTCGATATCTATAAATAACATTTATAAAACTTTTCAATAAATAATTTCATTATTTTAAGCATCGCAATCTCTTGAAATCTCCGTCCTAGTCTCAAAAAGTTAGTTTCAATAAAGATGACATTATTCTTCCACCTCAAATCAAACTGAAAACATATTTTTACTAATCTGAAAATTACTATTCCGATAAATGAATTCTTTATGGGAAATCTGTTTGTACTAAAACTTTTTTTGACTAAATGTATATAAAAAGTAAATGTGAAATATTTTTGATGTACCTACAACTGCGTATTTTTAAATAAAATTTGATTAGTTGTTCGAAAAGAACGAAAATTGTTTTCCAAGCTTTAAGATAATGACCAAAAGGATGGACTACTGTTTGAGTTGACCCAAATGGTGTGCGCCACAAAGTGACTAGCCAATAATATGCAACTCATCAATGGGAAATTGCGGGAAATCACAGTTGCCCAACCTCGAATTTCCAACAATTGGCTCACCGATAGAATTCCACAAGAAGCTATGAAAAATGGGGGCCACCAAGAAAAGCCGCAAATCAATTTTCCCAGACAACTCCTCCATTGTCGGGGGCTGCGGCTGCCATTGAACTCTAGCAAGGATGAGAATGACTCTGGAGGAGGTGGTTGAGTGCCAAATGAATGGCAATCGCCAATTGGCATCTGGCATCTGCTCTCGAAATCAAATAAAGTTAAATGGCCCGGTGCGCAGGCAGCACTAATAGACCAACATCGACCATAAACCTGGCCAACAAGTGGCTCGGCTTCCATGGGGAAGCAGCCAGTTGAATGCACTCGCCATCGCCATCAACTCCGATTTAAATTGGTCGCGGATCGGATCTCCGTTGCCAACCAGCTCGGCAAGTGTCTCTTTGTCTTTGTCATTGTCCACGGACAGGAAGGCGGAGATTACCGAATGGAATCGGAGATGCCAATAATACCACCAGATATAGTTGTATTATGCACAGCGAGTTTCAGGATAAAATCACTTCCAAAATGCTAAATGATTTGAGCAGAACAAAGCCAAAAATTGTCCAAATGTGGAATGTGATACCTCACTAGATTCGTTATAAAATTTCCAAGAAAACTGCATTCACACCTAAAATGGTTATATTTTGTCAATTTTTTGGAAAAAGACGATGTTACCCCTTTATCGAAAATTTGGCGACATTTGGTTTATACCGATTGCCCTCTCACAATGACAGTATTATGCCCATAACTAAGCCAATAATGGTTCAAATATAGAATGTCATACCTCGTTGAGCTTGTTTTCTAATTCTTAACAAATCTGCATCTCATCTGAGGTTGTCCGCTTTACGAAACAATCAGAGTTTAAGTTGAGGGATAACTTTGCTTAAATTTCAATCATAAATAAACCTTACAATATGCCAATTTCTTCTTAAAAACTGCTAACAACCTGTTAATAGTTGTTTTTGTAAGGCGCCACAAGTTTTCTTATCAACTCAATCCAATCTTTTGACTGTGAGAACTCTTATGAATTTGATTAAATTTGCAGTATTTGCAAGCTGGTTCTTTCAGAACCTTCTAAACGGGTATTTCTAGCATCCAACGGAGGATTAAGATATAACACCATTCCGTTTTCGAGCTCCGCTAAGAGATGGTAACTTGATCCCACTGGATGCCGGGCGCATGGGCATCGCATCGCAGTTAGCTAATGACACGGGCCCTCGACTGATTGATGATCGGTTGGAGCGGCTGACTATTTTTTTCTTTTCGTTTTTTCTGGGCCGTCAGTTACTGTTACATAATTACAGCAAATTAATTTCGGCAGAAGTTGCCGCCAGATGTACGCTGCTCCCAATGCTCCATGCCCGATGATCCCATGGCCCCGGGGCTCCCAGAGATGACATCATCTCACATAATCGCACATCTGCAATAATCCCAGACATTTGTGCATCACGGAATGCATTTTGGTAATTCCAAATTCCAAATTCCATATTCCGAATTCCAAACGGGGGTATTATCATGAATATGTACAGGTATACATACGTAGAGGGATTGGACCGAAGGTAAGACTCAGAGATCACGCCAGTGAAAGTCTGCCCCTTTAGCGGGGTCAAATCAATCAGGCTGGGCGGTGACCCAACGCTACTTGGGGAACTGTCTGTACGTCTGGGTGGCACTCGAATATTCATTCCCCCACCTCTTCGCCACAAGATACCCCGCGATTTTCGGGGATTTTCTCGAGAGCAACACCTTTCCAAAAACAACGCCTAATTATGTCATTAAAACGCTTGGCTTTTGTGTGCGTTTCTTAATGACGATTTGTGAGAAGCTGGCCAGTGATTTCAATTAAAAGTAGAAAAAACATTATGCTATCATCTTTGTTTTTTAATAATATTTTCTCCACTCATTAAATAACCTTCTCGTAATGAGATCATCAAAGATAACCCGAAAGCTATGAAGGACAAATGAGATATAATAATCTAATCTGTTATTATTATTGAAATATTTTTTATATATTATTTTTCAATCTTTTTTTTATGACACCAAAGATAATTTTTTAATTTTCTAACGATTATTTCCTTAGCAATTTATTAATTAACAAACAATAATATTAAATAATTATAGTTTTTGAAGGCAAATTCTTATTATTATTTTAGCTATTAAAATTCCACATTTTTAGGGTAAATGGTTTTATGATTTTGTTTAGTTTGCTAACTAAAAACTATATTCTATGTTTTTAGACAAACAAAATACCTTTGAGGAGCAGTTTTGTGGATCTTATTAAAGACTAAAGGAGGCTATGGGGAACCTCGGCGACCCATGACGAACCTTAACTGCGGTAAAAGTGAAGTCATGTGCGAGTCTTTGGGGCCAACGAAAAGTAAAAGCCAAAACGAGAGTGAAGTGATGGCAAAACACGCTGCGATCGTGATTCGCATTTGGCCATGGCCAACAGCAACTGGCAACATGAACGGCCAGCAACTTTGAGCCACCAGCAAGCAGCAACTAGCAACATCAACAGCAGGAGCCGGAAATCTGGTCAGGTTGTGACCCCCGGAAGTCGACACCAGACAATCAATCAATATCGGTGGCTATATGCCGCTGATCTATCATTATTTATGCACGATTCAAAAATATGGTGTAACATCTGCCTATTGTTTCGTTTGTCACAACAACATAATGACGGGGCCGAATAATTTTGCCATTTCTTTTTTTGCGGTCATTAAAGTGCCATAAAGCGTTGCCAATTCCATGGTAAATATTCGGTAGTTCCCCAAAAAACTGATAATCCATGTTTATATAGCTGTGTTTATGTAAGTCGAGGCGAGAAATTGCAAAAGCAATGCAGCAATGGATGACCGGAGGCGTGGCAGCAACGGCGCCAATCAGTGGCAACAACAGCGATAACATTGGCCAGCCAACATCTGCAACATCTGCAATATCAGCCGCTCTCCAATGGCAACAACAACAACATCTGGACAACAGAAAAAACCCAAACGGTTTACACTCAGCTAAAATTTATAACTTTTCCCAAGCTTAGTGTTAAGAAAATAATTTAAAAATGCTGGTAAGTAAAGTTTATAGAAAGATTGAAAGCAATATTATGGTCATTTTTGTGAGTGTACATAAGCAAGATGAAGAAAATACACAACAGCAACACTCTCTAGCAGCCACTTGTTGCATAGTCTGATGTCAAGAGCCTCTGCTTTGGTCAAGCGCCAATTGAGATGTGACAGGTTGTCTGGTCAAGATCTGCGCGCTACCCGGCACTCCATTCGAAGCTACAGTCCCCACCGAATCCAACTGCCACCTGCCACCTCTCTTCCATCCAGAGAAAAGGTCATCGGATTCCGGGGCACGAGTAAAAAGCTGGATTAGTCCCAGGCACGAATTGCCTGTCATGATTATGAGATGCTATCCATGATATATAGCCCCCTTAATCTCGTAAGATTTAATTTAGCCTGTCTGCTTATACAACAAGCATTTGCCCATTTCTTTTTCGGTTTTTGCAAGTTCACGTTGTTTACAGGAAAAATGGGGAAAATTCAAGATAAATAGGAAAATATGACAGACTGTTATGGCATGTTATAGGTCAAAAGTATTTTCTTTGAATATTAATTTAAAATTGATTTCAAATCCTTTATGGCATAATCCATATCAACTTTTACTTTTTATATCAATAAGAAAATAATCCAATATTTTCACTAGTGAAAATGATTTTATTTTCCCAAACTCAATAAAAACTCAGCTAAAATCGGTTTAAAACTCATTCAGATCTGTCGTCTGGGGTTAATTTGATTTTCGATCCGCTTAACCGAGTCAATCAACCGCCCAACAAGTATTATATAAATTGTATAATTTCCGATAACTGTTTCCCAGTCTGATCTCGGTCTAATCGCCTTATGTGTGACATCGAAATGCGTTCGAAAGTTACAGGTTTTCCAGTTCAAAAATAAAATACCAGCCAAGCCATTGTGCTGAGTTATTGGGACACCAAGGCTTATTTATTAACGATGGTTTCACTTTCCAGCCACACAATTACGATCGGATAAAGGCTGACGAAGAAATTGACACACGAAACCAAACAAATTTGTTTATAAATGTCGCACAATATTTATTTGTTGACGCCGTCGTCGTCGTCATCATCATCATCATCGATTTGTCATTGTTTGGGCGTCGAGGGGCATCTGAAAATTTATGGGGCTTATGTGCCATTTGACTCCATTCCGGTGTAAGGTGAAGGGTTGACAATGGGCCATAGAATCGAAATTGGCTGGAATTGTAACAATGGAGCCGCCGGACAAGACCAAGACTAAGCGATTCCAATTCGAAAGCGAGCAGGCGGCGCGGAAATTTATGCATAATTTCTGTGACAAATGCCACAAAACGACGGCGAGAGATCATGGAAAGTGTGAAAAGTGTGAAAAGTGCATTGATAATTATGATAATTGTCTGGTCTAAACTAGGGGGGGAATTATGAGTTCGTCCATAAGATACAGAAGATACATTTTCAGGTTGACAACAAAGACTTTCGTATTGTTTACAAGTACTATAGACTCGCTAACTTTCATTCTTAGTCACTGATTTGTGGCTGTTGCCGTTTCTTATATTTGTTGGCTTATTTCTCTTAACTCCATTGCTTTTTGGGTTGCCTGCCTAATTATATGGTACGTGCTATTTCATTCGCCGACAGATACAAGCTACAAGATACAAAGATGCACAACTGCCAACCGCAAGACAACCAGCGACATCCCAAGGGGAGGGCTCTGGGACGTGGTGATTAAGGCTAAGCGAATGCGAATTTGAAAATGCTCTACAATCAGGCTTACAAGTTATTTCTATAGCCTATTCTTACTATATCATTAGAAAACCTGAATTCTAGATGACTTTCTTTTAATTGAACAGATTTCTGTGGCATAGTTAAGGCATTTAATAGCTAAGATCTGTCGTCCAATTGCTGGCTAATTAATTGATCTTGTAAAGTCTCACATCTTTAGTTTCCTAATATGAAGTTGTTTGCTTTTAGCCAACCCACACGTATTTCTTGATCAAGTTATTGGACCCGCTACAAAGTTAACACCACATCAACAGCTACAACTTGATCATGATCATGATCATGATAATCATGGCCATGATCATGACTGCGTCGCTGTTTTACACGAAGGCAATTGCTTCTCGAGGAGGAACCCCATCTCCCATCATCCAATGCTTCTGCTTCCTTCAGCTCCTCCGCCTACCGGGTGAGTTGGCCTACCTGCCCATCTAGCTGCAATTATGATCCGCTAGCTGCGGATTGCTGCCTACAAGGCATGTCAACGCCTAGGACCGAGCTCTTGAAGCTTTTAGTTGGCTGCCAATCTGCGGGATTCTGGGAAGCACTTCCCGGGGGCCAATTTCCCATCGACGATGGTGGGTAAGAAAAATTCAAAATTAAAAAACAAAACAAATTACAAATAAAAAAGCCCACTACTTATGCAAAATGAACGGGCGAGATTTACTTTAATCACACTACCTGCCGGTCGATGTGTAAAAGTGAAAATGCAGCAGCCGACTGCGGTGGTGGTGCGTTTGCTTGCCCGGGCGGTTGGTTGGGTGGTGTAAATTATGAAATTAGTATTATGTGAAACGGAGTTAAAAGTGTGATTAAACTGGAGCCTGCAGTCAAAGTCACACACATGTGTGTGGGGCATAAAAAAAAACCCACCTGCCGCATAATAAGACGCTGCCACCGTCGTCGTCAAGACAATGAAAGTCACCTAAGTACCCACTCCATAGTAAGTGTGCGGGGCAATTAATATCATTTCAGCGTGGATGTGGATGTGGTTGTGGCTGTAGCTGTGCCTGTGGATGTAAATGTGGAGGCGAGAGCCACCGCGATGGTTTTCCGAGTGAGCGAGTCGCCCAAATGGAAATGCCGTCGCCGGCAGGTTAGACCCTTCGATGCTCAGGGTTAAAGAGCGGAGTAAGCTATGCGATTCCCAACGGATTGGTTTTCCATAACTTTGGAAATGCTAAATCAAAGGAGAGTAAAGGCGAAAACCAAATGTACATCAGATTGAGTATAGCTTAGTTGTAAATTTTTCATAGTAACATCATCACCAAGTTATGTTAAGGAAGTTCCATGAAATTCCTGGAATTTTCGACACCAGCTGGTGGGGCAATAAAACACCTGCTGGGCATACCCCCTGCTACCCAGTTGGCGCGATAGGAACCCACGACAAGTGCAGCGACAAAAAAACAAAATAAAAATAACAACAACAAATAACAATTCCCCGTGGCTTATTAGCAATGCCACTTAGAAGTTGGAGCAGGGAGAAAGTCATCCAGCTGAATGCACATGGAGAGGTTGTGCTGTCAACTGTCCCACCTGTCGTCTCGCGCCCACTTATCTATGGCATAGCATAGCATACAATACGATATGATACTATACTAAACCCGGCAGCAGAAACCGCAAGAGCACTCAAGTTTGTTGCCTCAGTCTTTTGTTCTGCCACGGCACATGGTTCATGGTGAATTGCGTAGGGAATTGCCCTAATCGCGGTTTCGGTTTCAATCGTCAATCGTAATCGAGGAAAATTTGTGAGCAGCACCGCGGGGCATTGGCACGAGATCTTCACTGATTTTTAATATATATAATTTAAAGCCCATGGAGGCCATAAAAAATAAAGAGGCATAGCATATATAAATATATATATGTATACTCATACTTAGTATGTGCGCTTTTCGACGTGTAAAAGAAAATGAGCTGCTTCGGCAATTAATAGACCATGAACAGTTTGCTAGACGAATGAAAACTGCGCACCACTAAATCCAGCATTAACTTAACTTTGACTAATGCGCACTTATCAAGTAACCAACTAAGACCCAAAAAACCAATCTAGTCGAAAGTCTATAACTAAGTGCCTTTAATTGCGATGGAGCTTTTCTATTTTCGCAGAGATTTTTCATTCTAAGAGTACATCTAAGAGAAAATCATTAAAAATATATATAATTAATATTTACATAAATTTAGCATGTTTTTACTGAATGTCTATAAATGCAAATTTATTTTATTTGCGATTACTTAACGATTCGAATCTCTTTGGGTATGCAAAATTATAGTTTTTAGATGGCTTTTTTTCACTTTTCAAACTATTGTTTGATTAACTCCATTTGCATATTTATCTTGGATTTTATTTTTAGAGTATAAATAAATACATTCACTCTTTATCCTTTTTTATATTTATATTTCATCATCTAACTCACCGTAAAAAATGATTTAAAAATTCAAGTTTCGAGCTGTCGTCGCTATATTCCTCTTGGCAATATTCCTCAACTTTGCCACAACATATTAATCTTGTTTCGTACTTTTTAATTAACTTTTATGATTGGCGGCTGCCAATTATAGCAAATGAACATTAAAAAATAAACAAAAGAACACCAGTTGGCACGCACATTGGGAAAGAGGATGTATATATATGTATATATATGTATTGCCGATAATGGAAGGGCTATTTATCACTTGGAAAAAATGCACAAGTCGCGTTGGAAAATCAGATGGAAAACTGCGAAAGGAAGGCGACGCGACGCCGTCAAACGACGATCCGGCAAACACGTTTTCCAGTTACAACGTTGGCAACGGAATGATTTGGGCAAATCTGCAGCGGCACCAACGAAGCCCGAAATTATCCCAAAGAGCGAAAGCCGGCAAATCAAACAGAGAGCCAGAGAGCCAAGAAAATGGCCCCGGTGAGAGGCTTTCTCCGGCTGAGAAAGAAACCTAAAATGAAAAGACATGAGAGTGTGTTGCTGAGATCACAGTCTACCACTTTGAATACCCTACATCGCAGGTGATCTATGAACCAAACCATTGGCTTCTGTTCGGCTTTTCCTCGCATAAATTTCCATCGCTTATGGCCAGCTCTAATTTTTCCAGCCAAGTTGTCCCATTAGAGATAACGCTGTGCGGACAGATGCACTTCATCATCGGCTACTTACAGTCCCACTGGTTTTACCATTTTAACTAATCCGTTCAGCTAACGATTAATACGAGGTGTGTTCAAAAAGTAAGGTGACTTTTCAAATTTCAAATTTTTCAAATTTTTCGATTATCTTCAGTTTTGGGAACAAGAAAAAGTCACATGGGGCCAAATCCGGTGAATATGGTGGCTGAGGCATTATTGTGGTGTTGTTTTTGGCCAAAAAATCCAAATCCTTTGATCCATATTTTTCGATAGCAAAAAATCGCCGAGCTCGCAAAACAACTTGTAACTTTACGCCTCTCACAACCAAACAAAAGAGGATGTTCCATTGAAACTTGGTACAGATGTTAGGGAAGAGTGTACCAATATAACAAAACAAAAAAATCGATAATCGAAAAATTTGAAATTCGCGAAATTTGAAGAGTCACCTTACTTTTTGAACACACCTCGTAGTTTACTTTATAATGCCATCAGCCTAATTTTAATAATGGAAAAATATTGTTTTGTGTTTGAAAAGAAACTGATTGCCGATAAAGGTGAAATTAAAGACTATACATGTTACCCCTTAACATAAATGCGAAATTTTGGCCTATCCTGATTATATGCCCAAAAAAATCAGTATTTTGATCAGAACAAAGCCAATATTATTTTAAATATGGAATGCCATGCCTCGCTGAGTTCGTTGTAAAATTTCCAACAAAACTGCATTCACACCTTAAAATCTTAATTTTAATCAATTTTTCGCAAAATTTTATGATGGTACCCCTTATTGAAAATGCTAATTTAGGGTTCTCCTCATTTCGCCCTAAAATGATATAAGTAAGCCAATAATAGTTCGAATAAGGAATACCACACCTCGTTGTAATCGGTTTTAAATTCTTTAAAACTGCATTCACAGCTAAAAATCTTGATTTTAAGTCATATTTATCAAAATTTGATGATAGTACCCCTTATTGAAAATGTGAAATTTAGTTTATCCACATTTCTCCCTCAGTCCATAACTAATCCAATAATGGTCCAAATGTGGAATGTAATACCTCGTTGAATTCGTTATTAAATTTCCAAGAAAACTGCATTCTCACCTAAAATTATTAATTTTTATCAATTTTTCACAAAAAATTATGATGTTACCCCTTATCAAAAATCCGAAATTTAGCAAAAAATGAATTTTTGGAATATCTGCCCAAAAATGATATGGAAGTCAAATTCGATCGTTAGATGCACTAAACAGTCACTATTTTTAGCTGTGGGTCTTTATTTGACCAAGTTAGTTAGTTAGCTAAAACCACTTAAATATATTGATGATATTTTTCAGCCAAGAAATCAGCATTTACCCTTCAAACATAAAACTAAATGCTTCGGCAGTGAATGTTAAATGTAATTTGCTTACATCAACTCTTCAATAAACATCCAGGAATCATTGCCAGGAAAACATTCACAAAACTCAAAGTGCTGTTTCATTGCAGGTGACCCAACAACAGGTGATATACAATTTTCGCTTTTGGCCCCGTAGGATGCCAAAATATTTGACTTCCCCATTTCAAATATTTCCCATTCACAGCATTTTTGCCCGGCAAGATTTCCACTTTACTTCTGTCAAGTTGATGTGTTGCATTTCTGCATTGTGCCATTGCATAACAAACAAATTGTTCACTTTCAAAAAAACAAAATAAACCAAAAAAAAAAAAAGAGGAAACAAATAGTTGTGAAGGAGCAGCCAGGAGTGGGTGAAGCGCCCACGTAGCAACATGGCCATAAACTGGACGCACTGCGTCCAATTTTCGGGCTTTTAAGTCAAACAGCTTGGCACAGAGATTGGGCAATCGGAAGCCCGAAGGCGTATTGCCAACGTGCAATTAATTTGTGACTTTTAATTAATGTCAAGGAAAACAAAATGCGAAGAGCAGCCTCCGAAGAGCTAAAGATAACGATGAGTTCAGAGGGCTGGAGAATCTAATGATTGAGCGGAGCAAATTGATGTTTTGGTTTTTGAAAATCGAAATTGTCGTTTTTTTGCGTGCTTGTTTTGGTTTCTTCTGTTTGTTTGTTGTTTCCTCGAGCGAATCATTAGCCAAAGAAGATCCATAGGATTTGGACTATAAATTCAACTGTTTCTTGGCCAGAAGACATCACAAACCATTGGATCTCAGCTTCGATCAGAATCTCAAATCTAATCAACTTTTAAATCCAGAATGAAGGTAAGAAGTCGAGGAGCCTTAAGGATTTGGCAAACTTAATCTCTTTAATTAAATCCTCCTCAGGTGTTTATCTGCGTCTTGGCATCCCTGGCTCTGGCCAATGCTGGTGGCTCCCGCGGCGGTGCCAGCGGTGGTGCTGGCGGTGGCTATCTGCCCGGTGGAGGACGCGGTGGTGGCCGTCCGGCCATTGGAGCTGGTCTAGTGTCCCATGTTTCCCAGTCACAGGGCAACACTAAGGTCCACATTGGCGGTGGCGCATCTGGCGGCGGTGCTGCCTATGGTGGTGGTGCTGCTGCCTATGGCGGCGGTGCTGGAGCTGCTCACGGCGGTGGAGCCTCCTATGGCGGTGGTGCTGGAGCTGCTCACGGCGCTGGTGCCTCATACGGCGGTGGACGCGGTGCTGGAGGCTGGCAAGGAGCTGGAGCTAGCCGTGGTGGTGCTGGAGGAGCCGGAGGATGGCAGGGTGGTTCTGCTGGAGGAGCTGGTGGCTGGCAGGGTGGTGCCGGAGGAGCTGGAGGCAACGCCTGGGGCAACCCCGCTGAGTTCGATTACACTGTCAACCATGCTTCTAGTGCCGGAGGTGCAGGTGGCGCCTACGGTGGTGCTGGTGCAGCCTACGGCGGTGCTGGTGGTGCTCACGGAGGTGCTGGTGGCGCTCACGGTGGTGCTGGTGGCGCCTACGGTGGTGGCTCCCGCGGCGGTGCTGGCTGGTGGAACGATTAAATAATGGCATATATGACAACTCAAATCGAATCTGTGCTAACGAATCTGACCAATAAATTGTTTTTGTAAAAAATAATCCATGAAATTATCTTAAAGTTCGTTTCTTAAGTCTTTCGTTTTCACAAGACGGGTTCCTGAACTGGCTTTTAAGTTGAGCTTCACCGGTAGTAAGCTCTACTAAGCTTTTAGTCTTGGTTATGTTTTGGTTTTTGGACACTTTGATATAGATAATGTAAAAGTAATATACAAAAATTAAAAAAAATTTTAAAGAATGAACCCATATCAAAAGAGAATTATATAAAAGTGTTGTGGTATTTCATTTTACAAATCGGAATCCGATTAGACAAGTTATTAACTTTATAATACCAGTTTTAAGCTACCTTTAAAGATTATCTACACCGATTTCTTACTTCATGCAATAAGCTCTCTTGGCAATAAGCGCTAGATGGCGCTGTGGCCAAGTTCGTTGCCTAAGTCTTTCGTTTGCTGGCACCAGCAAACCAGTTTACAACTTTGCTCTTTACGCCCTGCCCTTGCGATGGATTTGCTGAAGTTCAAGGTCATTACCAGCCGTTGCCACCGAAAGCGAAAGTTAACTAAGGCTAAAAACGGTAAGAGAACAGTGGAGTATGCCAAAGGATTGTAAGTACATAGCATATTCGCATATTAAGGGGAACTTAAGGTGTTAATCCTTGACACTAGCTCATAAAACATAAAACATAAAACATAAAACAACTCAAGTCAAGTGTGTGTGCCTAACATGAAGTTAAACAGTTTATGGGCTGTCATTGATTTATATGAAAATCAGTTTCTTTGCTTTTCAGTTTTGTGTTTTATTTTGCGTATTTCGTTTTGTTTTACTTCCGCTGGCGATCGTTGTTTGGCTTTGAATCCATCGATTTTCTTTGTCTAACCATTGTCTTTGATTCGATAATCATGAAGTTGCGGCGTCGACCAGTCTCGGCTGAGTTTTGCCATGTGCGTTTTTTCGTTTTCAGTTTAGTTTCTTTTTTTTCTTCTTGGGGGGGCTTCGGTTTTTAGTTACCAGGGAGCCTTGGACAAAGCGCATTACGATTCGCATGTTTGTTTATAAACAAATGGGCATCTCACTTTTATTTACACCAATCTGGACAAATTATGCGTACGTGTGTGCTAACCTGTTTTGGTTTTTGCATTAGTTTTTTCTTAACTGGTTTTGGGTTTTCTGATCTCTGGTCATTTGACAAACTCTTGATGCACATTTTGGAGATTAACACTGCGGAATGTCTTTGATTGGGAAATTTATTTGAAACTAATTTGGTCAATGAAACTGAGAAATAATTAATGCTAGATTTAATATTCTTAACGCCTTGGGCATTTTTAAGGCGGCAAACGAAGGTTTTAACTGCTTTAGTGGCAGTTACAGAATAAGTACTTCCTGAAGTAAGCTTACATCTGGTAGTTATTAATATTATTCTTCTATTTATTTTGCTTTATGTTTCATCTGTAGTTAAGTATTATGATTCCATAGTTAAACCAACCCCCACGATCCCTAAGTGATTGATGGGAGAATGCAATCGATTAACCTGCAATTAACTATCGATGTTTTACGACCCCCTCGACGATGATCTGGCAAGGCAGTGCAATTAGCTTATATTTATATGAGCCGGACTGCCATCAATTAGCCTTTTGCATATGTACGAGATCTGAGAGCTCCCAGATGAGCAAATTGCATTTGTAGAAGTAATATATATAGCAGTTATTTATGTGTCTGCTGGAATCTCAGGCAATTTTCTATGCAAGCTTGCAGGTTTTGCATTTGGAATTGAATTAATGTCCGCAGAATATTAGTTATTATCATTACATATTACCAACTTATTTATGAGTGTCATCAATTTCAGCTGTAATGTGCCCAGTGCCCTCCCTTCCAGCTGAGATGACGATGACTCTATCTAAAGTTCTCCTCTTAAGAAAAAACATGAACTCCGTTCACTTTTCGGCTTGGAGTTTTTGGTTTTCATATCTCTGTAGATATAGTATTATCCATATTTGCCTTTGTGTTTACTATTGCACTGGTAATTTCGTTTGGGTACATAACTCGCAATTAAATATGTTAATTCTGTTGTTTTTTAATGAAAGCCTTCAGACGTCCGAAGGCGAAGCGATGGGAAATAGTTTTGTAGGTTCGGTCATTACAGCCCCGGTAATGTAGTCGCCATTGTAAGGGAGATTATATCGTATCTTAACTTGGCACTAAGTGGGATCTATATCCAAACTGATATGGCTAGATGAGCTGGCTGCCTGGAAACAAGCTTCCTTTACCATAAAATATTAAAGCTTAAGATATCATTAAATTGATTCCTGCTTGGTTAACCGCAAATCATAATCATAATAATTATTAAAATCAATAACTAACATTTATGGGTTTCCCTCTGTGAATTGTTAATTAAACCATTAAATTGAAATCCCATTTTATGAGCACATCTTCGATATTAAATATATGATAAAGTCAATAAATCGGTAATGAGGAAATCTAATTAAAACTGATGCTTCCTATCGCTCGATCTCCCAAGTGGCCATCAGTCATCGTTTTTAAGCCCAGTAAAGCACTTTATATACTTCAATTTGCTACTTCTTAGTGGCTTGCCAACTTGTTTTCCACCTAATTGATAAGTTACCCATCGTTTGCTGTCGGTCTGTCGTCGAATTGGTGGCTCACAGCCTGAAGTATAATCGAATAATGCGATTATATGAATATTCATAAAGCCAAGAACGGGTATGTAAATGCCAAATACTGAAACAAACTTGCAAAAAAAAAAAAAGAATACAGAAACTATCTTTCTTTTGGCAAAGATCATATACATATATGAGGCGTGTGGTATAGGAGTACGTTGAACCCTTGGACTTGTGGGAGAGTTCTCTATAGTAATAGTGTTTATCTTTCGGGTTAGTACCGACAACTAGACGACCCACGAATATTCCCAGGCCAAATCTGCCATATCCGCCGAGCCACTATGCAAATATATGCCAAACTGAAGCATAGAAATAGAATCGTTCGAACCGGTTCCCTTTCGTATTAATAAGCGATGATGTGGGCTATGGATATTGGTATTGGCCATACAATAGGCCTCCGAGCTATTGAATAAATAGTTCTTGACTAAAACAGGAAGATGCCTTAGTTTTCCCACTTTAAAGTTAAACTTGAACCTTGGAGCAGAACTCATGTTTTAAGACCAATACCTCGGGGCCATTCATCAGTTTGTCACTTCGGATGCTTCTGCTTCTGCTTCTGCTTTTGGCCAATACTCAAAATCTCAGCTGGCCAACTGACAAAACATTGATATAAATGTTGATTGTCGGCCCATTGTTGCCCGTTGCCGGCTGCGGTGATTAAATGCTTATAATTTGTTTGACTTTCGGCGATTTGCACAGTGGTTGAGGAGTGGTTAATCCATCAGATCTGCAAAATAAATTTAAAATATATATAGTTAATAGTTAGAGTCTTATTAAGAGTATAAAACGTACAAAGCTGGCAAAGGCAAAGCCAAAATGGGTAGTTACTAGCCATAAGTTTTCTTAGACAATATTTATAATAACCAACCCAAAAGGCCAAACTAAGTTTAATTTTCTAATAAAACATAATGTTTGATGTACTCATCTTTACCAAAATGATGTTGTCAGTGGATTTCCCAAGAGATTTCCCCTTCCTACAACGATTTAACACCTACCAAACCACTGTGCAAACTGGAGGAGAAGCGGTTCCTCATCCGAAGTAAGCCGCGCATGCGCACAGATTAGCATAGGCAAACAAAAGAACCGCCGGCAAGCATAGCCGAATGTGGGTTATTATGAAATCGCAGCCAAAACGATGATGCTGCTCTGGCCGCTCTGCCCATCAATGGCTTCTAATTGGACCCCATCTCATTCGGATCGATCCATCGATTTTTCGGGGGTATAAAGGTGCGTGCTCCGGCTGTGGTTGGAATTAGTTTGGTCAGCTGTTTGAAACCGATTGTTACCCATTCGCTACTCGAGATGAAACCCTTTACCTGCATTCTGGTGATCCTTGCCGCCATCCTGTCCGTTGGTCAGGCCTCGCTCGGTGGTCTTCTTGGAGGCGGCGGCGGTGGCGGCGGTGGCTCCATTGGCGGAGGTGCTGGCGGCATTGGACAGCTGCTGCAAAGCAAGTTGGGCAGTCTCGGCGGTGGATTGGGCGGCGGCCTGGGCGGTCTGAGCGGTGGCTTTGGAGGAAAGCTCGGAGGTGGAGGCGGTGGCGGCGGTGGTGGTGGCTACTCTGGTGGCTACTCCAACGGCGGTGGCTACTCTGGCGGCGGTGGATACTCCGGCGGTGGTGGATACTCCGGCGGTGGCGGATACTCTGCCCCAGCTCCCAGGCCCGTTGAGAAGGTGGTCATCGTGAAGGTCATCAGCGAAGGCTACTCTGGCGGTCAATCTGGAGGCTACTCCGGTGGCTACTCTGGCGCTCAGTCTGGCGGTTACTCCGGCGGCTACTCTGGTGGTTACTCCGGTGGTGCTCAGTCTGGCGGCTGGAACAAGGGCTGGTAAAGATTGGCTAACCCAAGGACCAACCACAAATAGTTCAAACTGCCAAAACGAAAAGGCCAAGCAGCTTAGAATTTAGTATTTTTTAAATATTTTTTTTTTAGAGGTATTTGTTTGTTAGAATTTATGCAATAATATACAAGAAAAGAATTTCCATTTTTAATTGTCAGTGCCTTGTGACTGGGAGGGGAACCGGTTGACTTTGGCTTCCTGCTCTAACTCTAACTCTGACTCTGACTCTGACCCAATGGCCAAATGGTTGAGGTCATCACCTGCCAATCGAAGCAAGCAGTTAATGGGACAGGTACTTAGACGATTTTCGGCTTTTTCTGCAGCTCTTTCGCGACTCAAAAAGCGCATTTTATTGTTTTCCAAGCCATCGATCATTCCGTCTAAGAAAATCGAGAAAAAAAGAGAGAAACGATTGTCAGTCGATCGCACAAAAGACCCAAATTTGATTTTTATGCCGCCCATGAATTAAAATCCGGCCAGCGGTGGAAACGTGCAAAAGCCAAAAGGTTCAAGTGGTTATTTTTGATTCTTTGGCCTATTGAATTGGCCTATCAAAGGTGTATAATTAGCATTTTGGGGCAAGATAGGCTGACTTTTAAGTCCACAAAATATTCATTCTACTCTTTGTTCTGGAGGATTAATTTCTGTGAATAAATTTGTCCGAAAAGAAGGGCAGCAGCATAAATAAATGCGATTTTTTTATTGATAGAATTTTCCCCTTGATGTAGTTATTAACTAGTTGTTAAATTGATTGCTTTTTTAGTGGGTTTTTAATGAAATAAATCTCTTCATCATATGCGGTAGCCGTTTTTATGAGTCTTAAAAATGACTTTACTATGAAAGAGGAGTTTATGTACTTCTAGAAATATTTATAAAATAAACTACACCTCAAGTTTATTTCTACAAATTGATATTCATTTATAATGCTTAATTTATTCACCGCTAAACGTTTCGTGTCCCATAAAAAATCTATAAATAAATATCGAAACGATAATATAGCCAAGGGTATATAAAAATCTGCAGTTTCTTTTCTTGTTTTCTAATTTATGTCGCTGACGAAATCGAAACATTTTTTTGGCCTAAGGCAATGATCTGCATCTTTGGATCTTTGGAATAATGGAAACACATTACCAGCTCATCGGCCGAGACACCTTCTTGTGAGAGACGTCAATCTTTCGTGATGGGTTCGGTGTCAACTCATAAGTTGCACCCGAACAATTGCAACGAGTTGATTGATTGATTTGCCGGCGACCCGATTTGCAGCTGCCAGACAGCACGAATTATGTGCAACCGCAGCAGCAGCACGGTAGCCACAAAGACAAACACGCAGCTGACTTCCATCTCGATCTCCATTTCCACCGCCATCACCATCACACACCTTCCTCCACCTGCAATCTGCCATTCCAATACCAATCTGTATCGCCATCGCCATCACCATCGCCATTCTGAATAATGGGCAGGCATAAAGAACCAATTGCCAGATCGATCCGATCCCTGGCTCCTCGGGCTCTATATCTAGCCATCCAACCACCGGCAGGCGTACTCAATTAAGTACTTTGCGGTTGCTACATAAAAATCGAGAGCCAATAGATCGATGATCATGATGCGGTATCAGCTTGTCTGGGCTACACTTCACTACAAAAGAATATTACTTTTAGTGTTTTATCCTTTAGAAAACTACTCAGTAAATCATAAGTTACCTACTTACCTTTCTCCTTTCTGTAGGTTAGGATAATGTAGGGCTGGGCTGAACTGTAGTCTAGTGTGACTGATATAGTAAGTCTGGTGCCCCAAGCGCGCAGAACGGTCGACCTACGTGTGGGCCAACAAAGCGTACGAAATCGAAAGTCAGAGTTGGCATAATGAGGCCCAAGTACTGAGGTGAATTGAGCCACCGCCACCACCACCCGACCCACTCGCCGAGTTACCCCGAAGCAGCCAATCCAAGCTGGCCATTGTAAGCTGGTCGCTGGCAGTTTTGGCAATTACATCTGATTATACGAGGCAGCGGCTGTGGCGAAGCTGTGTGGCTCAGTGGCTGAGTGGCTCAGAATCTTGGATGGGTATAAATAGTCGAGAGTGGTTGCAGTGGGGCATTAGTTAGTGCACGGCAGCTACAGAGATGCAATCCACGATGACAACGCGACGACTTGGCCTTCTCGGTCTGCTGGTGGTGCTGGGTTGCATAGTGGCCCAGGGCAAGCCACATGGCTGGAGCAGCGGAGGCGGTGGTGGTTGGTCCTCAGGCGGATCTGGAGGCAGCAAGGTCATTATCAGTGCCTGGCCGTCCAGTGGTGGCGGCGGCGGTTGGTCCTCCGGCGGCGGATCAGGAGGCTGGAAGAGCGGCGGCGGTGGAGGTGGATGGTCATCGGGTGGATCAGGAGGCGGTGGCTGGAAGAGCGGAGGTGGCTCAGGTGGTTGGTCCTCCGGTGGATTATCTAGTGCCCTGTCCAGTCTCTCCGGTTGGAAGTCCCAGGCTTTGGGCGGCTTGAGCAGTGGCTGGAAGAGCGGCGGCGGCGGTGGTGGTGGCTGGAAGAGCGGCGGCGGCGGCGGTGGCTGGTCATCAGGTGGATCAGGTGGTGGTTGGAAGAGCGGCGGTGGTTCTGGTGGCTGGTCCTCTGGCGGATCCTCCTCCGCTTGGCCTAGCAAGATTAGCAGCGGTTGGTCCTCTGGCGGCGGTGGAGGCGGTTGGTCTTCCGGTGGAGGAGGCGGCGGCTGGAGCTGGTAAAGCAATCCTGGAAACGAGACGACATCCATCCGAGGCGAAACTGCGACGAGACGATACCAGAAAATACTGCTCAACTTGTATATAACATTTCTCTGCCCTAAACTTAATCAACCTTTTTTTTTTGTGTATTTGTGAATAAATCTTATGAGAAAGTAATTTTGATAAGCGTTGTTTCTTGAGAGGCAGGCGTGATTTATATTAATTCAAATTATTTACTAATTAGTAAAAAAAAGTTTTGATCGAGTTCGAAAAGGAACAGGTATGAAAACCCAAAGTCTTGAGTCATTTTTAAATAACTTTAGAAAGTTTTCAACTTCATATATCAACAGAATTTACAAACAATTTAAAAACAGTTTTAAGTTTTCAAAACTTTAGAACTTCTTCTATTAGTCAAAAAAATATCAAGCACTTTCTATATAGACAACACTTTATAAAAATAATAATAACAATTTCTAAACTTTCTTTTATATTAATCTTAATATTAAGCCAAAAATCAAGCCCAAACTTATTTACAAAATGCATAAAATAACTTTATTAGTAGAAAAACAATGAAAGCAGAAATAGAAGGACTTTAGATAGAAAAAAACGGGAAGATCCAGGGAGTTGTCTCTATCTCTATGCCATGGAACACTAGTCAGCATCAGCCGGTGGATTTGCTGCTCTCGGTGTGGTAATTACCAGCCACCGCCGTGGCTCTTGCCACCACCGCCGCCACCGCCTCCATAAAGACCACCGCCTCCTCCACCACCGCCGCCGCCTCCGTGCTTGTTGTTGCCACCTTGCCAGGACACGGAACTGCCGCGATTGCCAGCCAAGGATTTGCTACCACCTCCATGACCCCCGCCTCCATGGCCACCGCCTCCATAGCCTCCTTGTCCACCTCCATGGCCACCTGAAATTTAATAGTATATATAATCTAATCCTTGAAATATATGTTCCATAGATAAACCTTGACTGCCGCCTCCATAACCTCCTTGTCCACCACCACCGCCATGACCGCCACCACCACCTCCTCCATTCTTCTGCCAGCCTCCTTGGCCGCCGCCTCCATGTCCACCTAAAAGAATGAACATTATCAAACATATCTAATATGGAAATCCAAATATAGAAACACTTACCTTGGCTACCACCGCCATAGCCTCCCTGGCCGCCACCACCGCCTCCTCCGTTCTTCTGCCAGCCACCTTGACCACCGCCTCCGCCGCCACCACCACCATAGCCACCACCACCGCTACCACCGTAGCCACCACCACCGCCTCCACCACCCAGCAAACCGGCTGAGGCAAAGGCGATCATCAGACCGCACACGAAAACAAGGACCAGAGCGTGACGCATCCTTAGATATCACTCAAACAAAAATATACAAAAAAAATGAGCACACGAATATTTCGAAGACTTAGAACCGATGTGCAAACACTGCTGGAGGCTCAACACCACTGATGAACCAACCCAGAACTGTGGCAAGTTTTTATAGCTCCGAAAGGCGGAAACTTCGGCTGAGTCAGCGGCTGAGCAGCTGCAGCCTGCCATCCCTCCAACCAATCCAGCCAAGCTCCCAAAGGAAGGTTGAGAACTGCACTTCATGTCGGCACAATGCGACTTTGCTAGCAACTTGTGTCTGCCTTACACGAAAAGAAAAACTCAAAACTCTCAAGTACGCTGCCACACTCGGCGGATACGCAATGTGCGCTGGCTGGGAACATCGCGTATACGCCACCGCAGCACTTGCAAACTGCTGAGCCATGGCTGCATCATTAATTGCCAGCTCACATAGTACATTTGGCCACGAAACGCCTTGCAATTTGTCTTACAAGTCTACTAACTATTTCCATGCGAAATTCTAAGAATATTTTGCGCTGCAGCCATGCAATTTGTTGTTCAATTTTTCTTAATTATTATTTTGAGGAATTTCGAAGTCTTGCCGCTTGACGGGTTTAAGTAAAATATGAAACTTATGGCGAACATCTTGACAGTGTTTTGGAGTGTGAGAATCGTGGTTCATGTTTTTTAGATATTAAAAGATGTTTCTTAATTCAAATCATATAAGAAATTGCAATTAATTAACATATTAACTAACCTAAATAACGATTCAATTCAAACTGCCTAGAGTTCTCCCATGCCGCAGAGCATTTAAATGGTGATCATAAACAAACGATTTTCCTTATAATTTTCATTTCGAATTTATGTTCATTTTCGGCATCGTTTCGCGCTATTGCCATGCAATATTTGCGTCAATTAATCTTCATTTATACAGCAGCCGCTATTGAATCGCTAAATATACGAGACACGACTCCGCAGACACTGGTTCAATGTCAATTGGCGTGCAAACATGGTTAGGTGCATGCTCAAGTGCATTACTTACCATAAATTTCATCAACAACTCCGCTGTGTGTATGGCCAAATAGCTTTTCTTGGCTACCAACGCTTGCGGTGGCTTGGTGGCTTTCTGGCGGTTGAAGCCAAAGCCAAGTCCACAAGACGACCTCAACGGGGCCCAAGAAAATGGTAAAAATCCATACAGTGGTAGCAATTTTGGGTTTCCTTGGAAAGAAAATTAAGAAAATATTTACATTTCTTTGGGTGAGGTAAAGAGCATGGCCGTATGTTAAGAATATTAAAAAATTAAGTACTTTTCATCAAGGTTAAGACCTCTATTTTTACATTCAAAGTAGAGTTAATAAAATATTATAAAGGCTAGGCAGTTAAATCTTTTTATGACACTTAATTTAGTTGTAAAAAGAAGAAGTTAAAGTAAGTTGGCTTCCTTGTAAAACAAAGCTAAGAAATAATGACATAAAACACATAAATTGAATGTGGTTTTAAAAGTAAAACCACTGTGCCACCGCCTCGAGATGATCTTCGCTGAACTCCACTCGCATCAGCACCTTGGCCACCAACACGCTGTTCCACAATCATTTGCAAAATGCATAAAATATTAATAATTGCTCAGTCAGATACAGTCGGTTCTCAAGTTTAGAATGTTAATTGTGTGCACAAAGAATAAAAAGTACTAAGAACTATATAAAATTATTCTTTCAGAAAGTTTAAAATGTTTCTCAATGATGAGTTAACATTAGAACTTTAACTGATTCTACAACTTTGTTTCTAAACTAGCATTACCATCCATAAACTCATAACAATCTTTCTTACAGAACTTCGTTTCTCTGAGTGCAGCTATCAATAATTCACAGATGCATCATAAAAATGCTAAACTAGTCGGCGATAACGAGCAGCATCGCTGATTTTATGCATTGGATTCGTACATTTATTTATTTGTTACTCAAAAAAAAGGTACTTAAGATCTATGTTACAAAATCGTGAATTGTGAACCAGGTGCAGAGAGGGGGATCGGGGGGATAGGGATTGGGATTATAGGTTGGGATTGGGACTTCCACTTGGATTTGGTCTCCTAGAGATGGTGACGTATCCTGATCCTTTACCACCATCCACTGGAGCCAGAGCTGGACCAGCCATTGTTCCATCCTGAGTTGCCGCTGCTCCAGCCGGAGTTTCCGCCCCATCCGGAGTTGCTACCTCCCCATCCGGAGTTGCTGCCTCCCCATCCAGAGTTTCCACCCCATCCAGAGTTGCTGCCTCCCCATCCGGAGTTACCACCTCCCCAGATGCCGCTGCCGCCTCCTCCTCCTCCCAGCTTGATCACCTTGACGATCTGAGGCTGCTGGACAGTCGTCCAGCCACTGTTCCATCCTCCGCTGCTGCCGCCCCAAGGACTCGATCCCCAGCCGGAGGATCGCACCACTCCGGCCGAAACACAGGCCACCAAAGCGCAGAGTACAATGAACACCTTCATCCTGTGAGTTTTGGGCTTTTTGAGTTTTAAGTTTTAAGTTTTATATCCTGACTAAGGAGTTAGTGCGTCTCGAAGTGTTGGCACTCGAATGCTGTAACCACTGGATCGCCACTCGCTATTTATGGCGAAAAAAAAATACGGCAAACTGCGTGGCCCAGACTAATCTGGACGAGAATCCACAAAATAAATCTCCGACAGCGGGTGGCTGGGCCAGGTCGGGTAATTGCAGTTTATTAAACCACTTTGAGCGTCCGATTCTTGACCAGGGTCGACCGCTTTACAAGCAGAAGCCGCAACTGGGTAGCCATCAAGTCAGCCAACCATGTGGCCAAGTTGCAAAATTCGTACATAACTCACACGCTTGATGGATCATTTCCTCGCCTCGCTGCTGGCGGAAACTGCACCAGATCTACACTGACCGAAAAGCTGGGCTTGAGAAACTAACTTCAATATAGTTTCATAGCAATGTGGAGTTTCTGTTGACCAATAATGCAATGCAATTCCGACGGACTGGGAGAGATTAGAGCCAGGTTCCCAGTTCCCAGTAGCAGAAAAGAGGTCAACAAATCCAGAGAAGTACCCGGTCTCTAGGCTTCACATAGGCTTGGAACTGAAGGTGAACACAGCCGGGTAAATTTAACTTAACTAAACGTTTTCTATCTAACTATCCACATTTTATTGGCGGCATGCAAGCCGTCGCAAAAACTGCGGATTATTAGGCAAAAATGCCCCTAGGCTTATGCAATAAAATATAGAACAGCTTGCCACTTACCATGATTTCCGTCTTGCCGAAGTTGCCAGCCCAGTCCAGTGCATGATAGTAGTGTAGTAGGCGTCGCCACCTCTATTCATGCTGCACTGCATCCTCCTGGAGTCCAACCTGGAGTACCACCAACATGATGAGGTACCACCAATATGATGGGGTACCATCACCATACCACTTGGAGGGCTTTTACTAACACATTCTACACACACACACACCGAAATGACTTGACTGATTTTTGGGTGGTCCGCGGGCCCTACTGGCTACTGTTGGGCTAAAACCAGTTGGGAATTATATATACCCGGGAGTGCACAAAATTTGCCTGAACATGGAATTAAAATTTTTTTTTTTTATCTGTTATTTTTTTAGCTTAACATTTTATTTTATTTAATTTAATTTTTATTTTAACTTTTATCTCTCAGTGCAGTGGGTTTTGGCTTAAACCGCACGGTGAGAGGGGGAATCTTGCTGGAGAAGCTGGCGTCGAGTGAGTCATTTGTCAAACTGGCAGCTTAAGCCGCAAACGGAGACACTTGCAGTAAGTTGTGGAGATGGAGAAGCCGAGATGCAGATGCAGATCCCAGGTGAAGGGGCTGAAAGAAAAAACAAAAATAAAAGTCAAAACTGAATGGCACAGTGGGGAGATGAACTCGAAAGGTAACTGGATATCGGCGAAGGCATTTCCTGATCATGACAGTCAGCCGAAGGACACGGGAAAGCCCTGACACTCAATGTCTACGTGATGGCTAAAATAAAAAATATAACTTGATCAATAAAACTAGATTTTATAGAGCAAAGCCAGTCGTAATTAATAACACAATTTGACTCATTGAAAAATCAACTATCCAGTCGTAAAGATGCAAATCCATCTAGGACATCTAGGCCATTAAAGAACCCCTAGAATTATATATATATCATCGATCCCAGAGAGAGAGATGAAATCATCGCTCCCCTGACAACATTCACCAAGTAAGGCGGCTGACCTTAGTCGGCCATAAAAAACTCATCAGGGGCCCCGACCAGATGACATCCAATCCCACTGTACCTGGGCGCCACTCGGATAATAGTCAACAAAATATTACCAACTTCAGTCCAGTCAACAGTCAACAATCATGAGCTTGTGAGAATGGCGACACAGCGGCCTCTTTTCCACAGGTTATTTATCTTTCGGTTTTCTTCCATTGGGTATTATGAGTTATCTACAATTTTGTCAGTTTAAGATGAACATATGTTACCTTGTTTGGCATTATAAATATTCCTAAATTATCATTATCTTTAATCTTTAATTAGTTTATTTTTATTTACTTTTATCACCATCCTTCGGTATCACATTTATAGGGTATTCCAAAATCGTGAGCCTTCTGCCTTCGCTGTTTGGGCTTTACATAAGCGTAATAAACACGAATTTAATTGAATTGTCAACGCTTAGAAGGCAAATTGTATATTGCATATCGACCGCAATCGTGTCGGGGGCCAAGACGAGCCACAAAATAATCAAAAAAGAAAAAAAAACAAAAAGGAAAAAGAAAACAAGGCCTAACACTAGCTTAGGATAAATAACGGGTGGGGTATTGGAGGAGATCTCCTCCTCTTCGTTAAAACCAGGATCCACCAGATTTTTCTGTGGTCGTGGAACTCGCCATTTCAGCATCCGGGCACTTGCCACACTGCTCCAAATGTCTGGATCGCACGATCGAGGCATGCGTGCCAAAGGGCGAATTGGAGTTGACCTCGAGGAAGTAGTTGCCCTTGATATCTTGCGGCACCTGATATCCCATGGCCACCTGATCTCCCGGACACCGGAATTCCCGAAGTCTGGACATCGAACTGCAACGTACAGCTAGGAAATTTCTCTCATTTCCTGGATAAATGGTCTCTGCATAGTATTCCCAAGATCTGGCATGGGCACAGGTCACTGAGAAGCAGCCCGCCGGCAGGGGTCCCATTCCACCTGGATAGAAGTCTACATCGCCTAATGGATCCCGCATGCCCAGCACTCCGGAGTTACTGTGAATCACATCGATGAATCGAGCATCTCCTCGCATTAATCCTGAGAGAACTTCACCCTCGTTGAAGCACGGCTTGGCCGGATCCAATCCAGTGATCCTGGGTATTATCCGACCTGTCAGACGACGCAAATGCCGTCCGGCCGAACCCACTATATGGGCACCCAGACTATGGCCAATCAGATGGATATTCTCCACCGGCATCAGATCCAGCAGCTTCACCAATGCCAAAGCAATATTCTCGCCAATCTCCTCCGTATTGAAGGCCGACCAGGTGTACAGGGTGTCCACAAATCGAGCAGCATCCACGGCCTGTAAGTAAAGGGTAGGTTTAGTAGGTTGAAAATATATTTCTCTTATATAAATTCTTTTCATTTTCCCTTTTTTATTTAAAATTTATTCCAAATGAATAATAATTTAATCAAATATCATAATAAATATATATTTCTAACACGTATTTGACATTAACTGAATATTATTATTATTCCTTGTCTCGATTGACTTATTCCCAACATTCAAATATTTATATCCCAGTAAATTTGCAAATAACTTTGATTTAAGTTGATTACTGCAATGAATGGCTATGAAAGCCGGTTATTTGTTTACTTACTCTCTACCTAAAACATAAATTTAAACTTAAATAAGAAAACATAAACTCAGGTTGAGTAGATTGGCATTACATTTACAAAACGCGGAAAGCATACAGATTAAGTCCAGGGCTAAAAGGTTAAACCTGTTTGTAAGCAAAACTAATCTGTTAAGAACCTTATCAGAAAAGACTAATAATATAAATGTAGATTACAAACTTGTTTCCCTGCTGATTAACGATAGGTTAATAAACGCCCTTAGCCATGATTTGTTTCAGTTAATATATATATTAGTTTAGTACTCACCACAAAGTTGACATCGCCACGACAGTTGTAGGCCTTTGAGAACATATCGATGGTGTCGGAGCCATTGATGGTGGTGGTCCATCCGGTTGCCAGGATGACGACCTTCTTCTTGGGATCGAACAGTGGACTCTTCCACATGCTCTCCGGATTGGTCAGCGGAAAGTTGACCTTTGCGCAGGCCGTTTGCAGTTGGAAGTTCATCAATTTGATGTCCGGCGAGAATTTCGACTTGATTGTGTTCGATGCCAGTGCCTGGGAACCTAAAAATGGAATAAATAGTACAAAAAATTAGCTAATTAGTATATTTAAGCTCTGCTTAGGATACTCACAGATTACACTGAGCGAATTGGAAACGAATTCAAAGGGGTAACCGGCGATGAGCTGTTTGCTGCCATCGAGAAGGCCTTGGGGCGTGGGCAGAAGACTGGGATCAACGATGCTGGTGCTGACCTTTCCAATGGTATCGATAACATCCGGCAGAGTCCACTCAATGGAATGGATCGAGGGAATCAGAAGCTGGAGAAGGATGAGCACCACAATCGGAAGCATCTTCATGGCAATTACTCCCATCCTGGGCGAGAACGCGACGAGAACTAAGTGCCGGAAGGCAAATGACAATTGTTTTTATAGCCTCCCGAGGGAGGGGCTCGTGCGGCGAACACATTGCCTTATATATACATATATATATATATGTATATGATTCTACTCAACTGTGACCATATCGATGTGTGTTTCGATCAGATAAGGTGCACTTGTCACTTAATTAGTTCCATTTCGATTCGTCGCCTTCAGCACATCTCGCCGAGAAATCGATAGATCTGGCCCAGAACTAACTGCATTCGCATTTGCCGAGCTCATCTGCATTTATTTCAATTCTAATCGAAAACTAAAGCAGATCCCAGTTCCAGTCGTAATATAAAGATAACGCCCTGGTTTGCAGCCCGGGGATCCAGTCGATTAACTTAACACCCTATTACATACAGTCTATTATCAGCTGAGAAGTTTGACCTTAAATTTGATGGTTCTTACAGGCCAAAAATAGATTTTATTTTAATCTCAACGAAAAGAAAAAGGAAACGACATTAAATCTTGGAATTCCCCAATTTTCAGCTGACGCTAATCATCGCGTGGCGTCGCTAACTGATAATGGCACGTCGGAATCTTTCAGTTTCTTAACAAAAATCATCAGACCAGTAGCATGACCCGTTTTGCCGGTAGTGTATCAAAATATACACTAGGAGAAGAGGTTTGGTGGGTAGTAGTTTGAGAAATATAACAAACTGAAGAAATAAATTAACTAAAATATGTCCTAATACTTAACTTTAGTCTATTTTTGCTGCTTCAAAATAACAAATATAGTTATCTGATTAACTGAATTTCATATTCTAACATTCTGTTCTCCCAGTGTAAGGTCAATTCTCACGTAGTTAACATCAAATGCTGCTGCCGGTTACGACAACAGGGCCATATTAATGCGGGCCCATTGCTCACCGTTTATTTCCCATTCCGTATTCCCCGATCTCGGCTCCCGATCTCCAAACCATTGTCATTCCGTCAACGTGCCCTGGCCAATTTTAGTGGCCCACCAACAACAACAGCAACCAAAAAAGACGTCACAAAAGAATTAACTTTGCGTTGACATCAGCATTCGGCGATTTCTCACACAAATCACGGACCAAACGGCCAGCTATCCGGCCAAAAAGGGGTAAGGGAGAGGGGCTCGACTGCGGATTTGTCCTTGAAATTATCGGTGAAAAAATCCTTGGTTATCTGCGATGCTTAACAATTAAGAGATAAGTCACAGCAGATTGAAAAATGCCAAGATATCTTTCATCTTTTAGGCCATAAATTAACTAGGTTGATTTAGATGGCTTATGTAAGGGATGTAAATTGGAAAGTTTTATATAATAAACTAGATAGAATAATCAATAATAATGTATATCTGATGAAAACTAGTTAGAATAAGCTAAGACAGACACTTTTCCCAGTCAAAGAACTCATTCACAGGCTCCACATTCTGTGGTGGAGTAGGTAAACGTCTCTAGATTGGCATTCTGACCGTAGGGCTCAGCCCTATTAGCGCCCACATAGAACAGTCCCAGTTCCGTTGGCTTGGCCGCGTATCCCATCACAGTCCTCGTGTCCCGACAATAGCTGCCAAGCAGGAGTTCCGAATACCGATCGCAACGCCTGCCCAGAAAGTCATTCTCATTCGTCGGATACACCGTCTCCGTCCAGTAGTCCACCGCTCTCTGGTGCGAACAGCTAATCGTGGTTAGACCCTCACAACCCTCTTTGAAGGGAATCCGTCCCTGGACAAAGAAATCCGCATCTCCAGCTCGCTTTGAGGTACCCAACATGCCGGGATTCGAGTGGATAATGTCCACGAATCGTGCATCTCCACTTCGTAGACCCTCCAGATCGTTCCCATCGTAGAAACATGGATTAGCCGGATCCAATCCGGTGATTCTCTTCAAGGTTAATCCACCCGACATTTGCCGATAGTTCCTGCCCGCCGAGCCAGCAATCTGGGCTCCCAAACTGTGACCCACCAAATGGAACTGATTGGTCACATAGGTGGTGTTCATTCGGAGTAGCGCCTTGGCCAGATTAGCTCCAATGACCTCAGTGTTCAAGGCCGACCATGTATAGAGGGTGTCTATAAAGTCAGCGGCATCCAGAATCTAAAACAAGCTTATTTAATATATATTTTTTAACATTACTAACTATTAAGACTCACCAGCATGTTTGTATCATTGCGGCAGGTATAAGCTTTGGCCACGGGACCACTGTTGGAATCGTTGATACTACTTTTCCAGCCGGTGATGAACACGACCGTCGGACGATCCTGATAGAATCCTGGAGTATTCCATAGCTCCTCTGCCTGGGTCAATGGTATACTGGTATTCTGACAGTGGTTTTCTGTCCGAAGTAGAAACTTCATTCGCGACACATCCGGGATAACTTTAGATCTCACCACACCGAGATCCACAATGGTGCTGCATATATAGTTGAGGGTGGAGAAGGCTATATCCAGGGGCAGTCCAATGAATAGTTGACGCATCTGGTCCTGCAGGTGATCGAGGAGCATGTCCTTGTACAGATTCGGCAGCTGTCGCAGATTGAGGCTGTCTGTATCCTGTTCTGTGTTTTGCCAATCTTTGAGAAATCCATTTTTGCAATAGCTTGTGTTGGCGGACTTTAAAAAATCTAAAATGATTTCCTTTTCGGAATCAGATTTAACTGAACTTTTATTTTCCAAATCTTGATTTATAGAATCACTTCGATTCTTCACTTCGGAAGCTTCGGAAATAGCCAAAGTTGATGGTCTATATTCCTTCAGAGAATCTGCCACAATGGGCTCTAAAATCCCAGCCAGCAACACCACTAAAATCCAAAAAGACATGGTAATCCGAGAGACACTGGAAGAGAACCAACTCATGTCTACCTTTTATATGCGGTGTCCAGTTAGATACCTTTCTTTTTGGTCATTTCAAGGGAAATTTATGAGTTTTTGGCGATATAGAACTGCTGTTCTATGACACGACTCAACGACGATATCACCCACGATTCCAAGTGTCCGATCATCACGAATTAGTATTACTACTGGGCTTGCAAAATCCAGGTAGCGATCGCAAAATTTCCAAGCCAAAAATATTTGTTGCGTTAGGAAATGTTTGCTCCGGCTGCCAAAAAGCGAGCCACCTAATTACCACCTTGCTCCGCCTCCGTTCCCAATTAACCGATCCGATCCGCAACCCACCGCCCCCACCATCAACTACCGTTGAAAATTAAACAGAAAACAAGCGGTGCTATTACATTGGTAATTTGTGTGCCCCACTGTTGGTGTTGCTGTTGCCGTGGCTGCCGTCGTTGATGTTGCCGGCACGCAATCCAGCAGCAACTACTTGCTACAAGCAAGCAGCAAGTAGCAGCAATCAGAAGCGTTAAGAGCGCAAGTGCGAGTGCCTCCATTCCAGTTGGCCATTTGAATGATGGACTCGCAAATTAATACTGGCCAATTAATCAAACTGACCGACTTGGAAAATATACTGGAATGTTAGGCTACACCCAAAGAAAAATGACATTCTAGCACTGCATGATGTCCACTTTAGTAATTTATTACAATTTTATGCAGATTACTGTTTTAACGTATGATATGAAAGCTGATGCTAATAATGGTTTAACTACCATATAAATTTATAAAAATATTTATTAGTAAAGTGCTTATAGTTAGTGCTAGTTTCTAATATAGAAAGTTGGTTAAAAATATTTTCTATAATATTAAAAGTAAATTATGCTTAGTTAAGTTTCCTTAAAGCACTTTTAGTAAACATATTTTTATATGTTGTTAAATAATTTATTACTAATATTTAGAGCCTACAAACTTCGTTAGATATTGGCTTTGTTTTTGCCAAATTATTCGCACATTTCACGTCATATTGACGGCAGGCACAATCGACAAATGTACATCGGTTGCTGTTTTGTTTCGCTTTTCCATCTTTTGCAATCTCCCAGAGGAGCTCGTGCTCCATGTATATATATATATAGATATAGTATATAGTATCTATATCTGGCTGGGAATATGGGTGAGTATGTCAGACGCATGGAGCTGTGTGGTTTTTTGGAAAATGCTGGCGATCAAGCGCGGGCTGTTCGCTCTGCTGGCTTTTAATTGCAGGCGAGTGGCTCATGAAATCGAAATCAATTCAGATTGCTCTATATCTATTAAGCTATATCCCCACAAATGTGATTAAGCTATAGCTTTATGTAATACTGGTTTTCTCTAATTATACTCCCATGAATCTTTAATTTCTTTTAACATGTGTTTATAAAACTGAAAAACTTAAAGTCGTGTAATAGGTGAAAGAGTTTTTTGTTTTAGGCATTTTTGTACATAAATTAGTTATTTAAAATATTAGATAAGTGTTTAATGTTTAGTTAGAACTGAGCCTTAAGTATTAGCATATAATTCAGATTACTTTATGTTTGGTCAGTTAAGGTGAGAAAAATGTGAAAAGCAAAGTTTCTCAAGGAGTTAATTGCATTTTTTGGCCGCTTTGCACAATGGACATATCTCACTGCATTGTTCGGGCCAAAATATATATATATATACGGCTATATGTGACTAACTCTTAGTATTTGCCATTCTACTTCCACTATTTGCTGTTGATAAACCTAATTAGTTGGGCTGTGCCAAAAAATTTGAGCTTCCGCCTCGGGAGTGCAAATAGGCGGAGGGTTAAGGCCTACAGGGATGCCACCAATGACGCAATGGGCCAAATGCTGAGAACAGGGGCAGCCTAATGGTCAAAAGTGGCCAAAAAAAAAAAAAATGATAGAGAAGACGAAAATTATTACGTATACGCACCATTGCAACAGGCTTTTCAATGGCCCCGCCACTTAGACGTCGACGTAATGCGGAGTAAGTGCAGCAAATTATCAGCTCCAGCCGAACGAGCGGCCGCGCCAGGCAGATGTCCGTTGCAACATTTTTTTTTTCGCTTTTCGCCAAACAAAAGACTGTGTGTGGAAAAGTGTGCATTGGAAAATGCAGGAAAATGCGGCATGTATTTGCGGTCGAATGTGAGTGCTCCGAGCATATAAAACCAAATGGAGTTGCTAGCAGTAAATTAGTTGACTCGAAACATTTCGCCGCGTCGGTTAAACTCTTTAACTATCTATTATTTTTTTGAGTGTTTCTACAAAACTAGTTAAAAAAACTAACTAACTGCAACTATGTTCACCTATCGCCTGAAACTGATGATCCTGCTGGGCCAACTGCTGATGTTGGGCATCCAGTCTTATCCTTTGGGAGACGATCTGTCCTCCAGTGTGGTCCATTCGGCTGGCCTCTTGGGTCATTATGCCGGCGGCCTGACTGGCGGCGAGGCATTGTCCAAACTGGACTTTAGCTCGTCGTCTCATGAATTTGGTGCTTCCGGAGATCAGGATCATTTGGGCTCACTGGGTGATCATCTGGGCGAGGAGAGTTTCCCCTCGGATTATGGCAGCAGTGATGCCGGCGAGGAGTATGCCGAGGCCAGCGAAGTTCATTCCCATTATGAGGATCATAAGGCTGTGCCCGGCATCGATCATGGCAAGGGTGCCTTTAGCTACAGCACCCTGTACGAATTCAAGGATCGGGATGAGCATGAGCTTCATCACCTTCAGCACCAGGCACTCGAACAGCAGGTGGAACATCAGGCGGAGCATGACCACCATCTGGAGCACCATCATCTGGAGCATCTCTACTAAAGACTGTGATAGTCGCATCCAAGACCTAGCAAAATGCTCAAAGATTATCTTACTCTAAAACTATATTTTTTTTAAGCACTTGTTGAAATAAAACTAAGTTAAAACGAATTTGGGAAATATTTTTGGGTGGAGTAAAAATATAGAAAAAATATATTCAATGTCTTTGTAAGACTACGAGCAAATCAAAAATCCAAGATAATAATAAAAAAAAATATATAGAAAAAAACCCTAAACAGAAAATGGGCCAGCTAAGAAATAATAATTTATGATACTTTGTTAAAAGTTTCACTATAAAACCATTCAACGTCCATGGGAGTGGACAACTTTATGCTGGGGCAATTTAAGCTGCGAAAAGTCCACATTATCATTGACCACGATGCGGGGTTCATGAATCGAGGGGGTGGCCGGGATCATTGGAATCGATGAGTGTGGCAGGTGTGATGCCGTCAAGGTGTCCATAAAGAAATGCGGCCAGGGATTTCCCAGTGACGATGAGTATACATTGGGCACCAGCAGCAATTGAGTGGGCTCCGTATCGGGAGCCAGTTGGAGTACTCCAGAGCTAATGTGTATGGCGGGTCCATAGGCTAATGGTAAAGATATATATATATAGTTAGATGATTTAATTCAGTAAACATTAATCATACTTACCATGACTGGCCAGATGATCCTGCTCCACCCCATGACCACCTACTGAGGCCGCAAAAGCCACAGCAACTAAAATAAACAATTGCTGATTAAACGCTTGCATTTTGTTTGACCAAATCTTAGCTGGGCTTCCCTGCTTTTATATTCTCCGGCGAACGGAAGTTCTTGGTCTTGGCTGAACGCCCATCGGTGACACCTTTGGATGACTGCTCCTCGAATTGCATGACACTTGATTGCTAAAGATCACGGAATCTATATGCAATTTTCTATCGATAAGGCGGCAATATAATTAATTTTATTTTAAACAGAAAAACACTCAAAAGCTAAGTTTTCCGGCCTGATTTTCATGGAAATAATTGTGTGAATGTAGAATGTAATATCTCGTTAGAATCGTTATTAAATTTCCAATAAAACTGCATTCACACCTAAAAATCCAAATTTTTGTAGATTTTTCACAAAAAATGATGATGTTACCCCTTATCGAAAATGTGAAATTTGGTTTATGCCGATTGCTCCCACAACGACAGTGTTGTGTTCATAACTAAGCCAATAATGGTCCAAATGTGGAATGCAATATCTCGTTGGAATCGTTATTAAATTTCCAATAAAACTGGATTCACACCTAAAGATCCAAATTTTTGTAGATTTTTCACAAAAAATGATGATGTTACCCCTTTTAAAAAATTCTGAATTTTTCCAAAAAATTTATTTTTCGTATATCTGTCCAAAACTTATATGGAAGTAAGATTTGGTCGTTAGATGCACAAAACAGTCACTCTTTTAGCTCGGCGTCTTGTTTTCACCAAGTTAGAGGTTAAAAACTAAAAAAACTATAACAATTTTTCTTCAAAAATGTCTTTCCTTAATATTATTTTCCAATCAATATAACAAAAATAAAAATCAATATAAAATTCTATCAAACGTTTAAATAAAAAGCCTAAAAGATTCCACAAAGATTAGATTTATCTTAACCTACTAGGAAAATAATCTTAAATGTTTTTATATTTAAATGCAAATTAGCAAAGACCCTATAGACCCGAACCGATCTTAGCCCCATTCTCAGGGCCTTCTTCACGATCTCCCAAGATCCGGAATTGGAATATGAATCGCCACCGATTCGTTGGGAGTTAGCAACTGGGTGCTAATTTAGCTTAGAATCAATAACACAATGAACCCTAGCATTGGGGGGAGACCATGAAAAAAACCCCGAAAAATACATTATATATATCTATACTATATCTATAGCAGACAGAGATATTCTTCAAAGACTCGAACAATTACATAACATTATGGATGCATATCAGGGTTTTATATCTGTTATAATGATTTATTTTATGTACACATCGATCGAACAAAAAAATAGAAGTATTCGTTTTAGAACTAGAAAAAAAATAGTTGAGTACGATTAGGTTAGGATGGTTTTTGCTGGATCTCCATGGTTTAGCAGCCAACGAGCTTCTCGAAGATACCGCCACGCTTCCAGCCGCCATTGAATCCACCACCGAATCCACCATTGGAACCACCAGTGTAGCCACTGTTGTAACCACCGTTGAATCCACCGTTGTAACCACTGTTGTAGCCACCAGCGGAGGCGGAGGCAGAAGAGGAGGCGCTAGAGTAACTGGAGTCCACAGCCGGTGGTCCATAAACCGGGGCTGGAGCACGATCCTCGTCCACAATCAGCTTGATGGTCTTCACCACCTGTTGGCTCTGTGGCTGAGGAGCGTAGGCAACGGGAGCGGGTGCGGGTGCAGGAGCGAAGCTAATGGGCGCCGGTGCTGGGGCAGCATAGCGAACCACTGGGGCGGGGGCGGGAGCAGTGTAGGTAACAGCTGGTGCCGGTGCGGAGTAGGTCACAGCGGGAGCTGGAGCGGAGTAGGTCACGGGAGCAGGAGCTGGGGCGGAATAGGTCACAGCAGGAGCAGCCTGGACGCGAACCACTGGAGCGGGAGCTGGGGCGGAGTAGGTCACGGGAGCAGCAGCTGGGGCGGAATAGGTCACAGCGGGAGCTGGAGCAGAGTAGGTAACAGCAGGAGCAGCCTGAACACGCACAACGGGAGCAGGAGCCGGGGCGGAATAGGTCACAGCTGGAGCAGGAGCAGAGTAGGTAACAGCGGGAGCTGGGGCAGAGTAAGTCACAGCTGGCGCAGGGGCGGAGTAGGTTACAGCGGGAGCAGGAGCCGGGGCGGAGTAGGTCACAGCGGGAGCTGGAGCGGAGTAGGAGCTGGAGCTGGCACTGGAAGAAGCACTTGAGGAAGCACTCGATGAGTAACCTCCATAGTTGCCTCCATAGCTGGAAGAGCGTCCATAATCGTAAGAGGGCTGCTCCACCACCTTAATGACCTTAATGACCTGCTCGCCACCTCCATAACCGCCGCCATAACCACCACCATAACCGCCTCCATAGCTGCTGCTGCTGGCGGATGATGATGAGGAGCTTCCGTATCCCGAACTGTAGACTGGTCGGCTGGGCTGGCTATAGTATCCCTGGTTGTAGCCACCGGAATATCCACCGCTGCCATAGCCGCCTCCATAGCCACCACTGCCAGTGGAGTAGCCACCACCGGTGGAGCTACCGCCACCCAGACCACCGCCAATGGCCTTCAGCAGAGCCAATTTGGCGCCCAACAGGGCATCGGAGGGAACTGGGCACGAAATGGCCAAAAGGGCCAGTGAAACGCAAACGTACAACTTCATGGTAGTGCTGGGGGGGGATACTAGTAAAGCTAGTGATGCTACTGATGCTGTCCGCAACCTAAACGAAACTCAACTGATGTCCCAATTCGACAGGGGGCACTAATTTATACCCATCCAGCCCGGCAAGCTGGGCCAGCCCGGCAGGCGGCAGAGCAGTTCGTATCTGTTCGTTTTTGTGTAGTTCTAAACGAGATGAGATTCCAGCCACTATGGCTATTTGCTTAATTCATAAATGGTTACTTATGGGCCAAAAGCGACAAGACGAGACCAAATATATTTCAAATCTGGGCGGGGCTCTGAGCCACCGGCTGTCTATCTATCTATCTATCTATCTGTCTGTCACCTCAACTACTTAACCATCAAGTGAGATATTTTCTCGCATCTCCTCCCGAGGTACAGCAAAAAAAAAAAAAAAACACAAAAAAACATAAATAGTTAAATAAATCCAAAAACCAAGAGCGTTACGGATTCGCAAGAAGCTCAGGTAATTCCCCAACACACAAATTAGCACTGAGCGAAATGTTTGGCTTCATTGAGTGCGATAATTTGAAGGGCATTATGATCTGTGATCTTAAACTAAGTAACAATATTAAGAATTTTAAAGTAATTTACAGAACATTAAATAAATATCTTGAATATTAATCATCTCTGACTGGCCTTCTTGAGAATGTCAACAAACGATGGGAAATTCAAACAGAGAATGCCATGTGAGTTGCATGTTAATGGTCTCATTTCATTATTGTCCCAATTTGATTGAGGCTATATTGAGGAATATAATAATAATATAAACCTAATTTATTATATAGGATATATCTATATAGTTCCCAAAGTGAAATCTCCATTTATAGACATTTCATTAAATAAAAAATAAGATTATAATAACCAAACTAACAATAATTATGAAAAGAACCCAAAACTATCAATGTAACATTATTAGTTAAAGAGTTAAAAGTTAAACAAACTATAAAAACATTAAAAACACCTCCAATTTCTCGCAGTGCACGCTGGCACATGTGCGTGGCCAGTGTATTGGCATTGTCACTCATTCAGTCCCCCGAAATCTTGTGCATGACTTCACGTAGTCGTGGAACTCAACGGGTTAAAGCCTCGCCAATATCCAAATAGTTAAATATCCCGAAATCCAAATAACCCAAGCACGCCCAGAAATCTTCGTTCATCTCGGATTTCGACCAGAAAACCTGTCCACGTCGGCCACGTCCACGTTTTCTGACGCATTTCCAAACATCTCAGATCAAATATTACATATATGTAAATGTCGCTTTTTGGCCTTTTTGTTTTATATTTTTTTGTCCCCTATTGATCTAGACATTTATGCAAATTGGGTCATCCCAACAGAGCTCCATCTGGCTAAATTTAACGTTCCCATAACTTGACAACTGGTTCTTAGCCAAACACGAGAGTATCGTTAAAACAATATTTAAGGAAAGATGCGTGGAATTTTACAAATTTGCAGAATACAAAATTCTTAAGCTTATTCTGTTTGTTTTGTTGGCCAAAAAATCTGGCCATTGAACATTCTTTTACTACAGTGCGTTTCGAAAATGTAGAATATTTATAATAGTAGCTTAAACACTTTCTTCATTTATACAAAATTATTTCTACTTCATGATATGTATAAGAAACAGTTCTTAAAATAGCAAACTTAAACCAATCATAAAATAACTTTAACATATATTAAGACTAAAGAATCTTACAATTTAGAAACTTAGTGTATTTTCTACATCTGTATGCTAAACATATTTGTAATTTAACTCTTTTCTTGTCCGAACTTGGCAAATATTAAATCATAGCCAATTTACACATTTCCATTTACAGATTGTCTACTTTTTTGTGGTGTATTTCTTTGGCCTTTCTGTGGTTCGAGGTGGCCCAAGTGGTTGGAGTGGCTGCGACACATGTACATATGGAAATGGAGGTGGAGATAGAGCTGGTGCTGAAGCTGGAGCTGGTCCAGCTCAACCAATTTGCACCCAACGGGCGTACAACATTCTCGTATCTTTTTTTTGGGCTTGGCTCTTGTGACTTTGACTTTGGTTTTGCTTTTGGTTTTTGGCACTTGATTACCATTAACAGTTTCGTTGGGCTCACGATCTGCGGCTTGTTGGGTTAAGGGCGGTGGAAAGGGTTAAAGCCGGCTAACTGAGTGCGTAAACAGCACTCAACTCTCGATTTCATTCAGAGGTCCAAAACGAAGGTCATCAGGGTGGGGGCGGTGGCTTCTTCAATTAGGTGCGAAATTTTTATTTTGTAATTGTCAAGCTTTCAAATTGCAAAATGCCAAGATTACAAACGCCAGTTTTTGGTGAATAAAAGAGTAGAAAAAACTGGAATGTCAGTTAAAAAATAGAACTTTAGTTTCTTGGGTACATCTTTTGTTAGCAGACTTTTGGGCTTGTCAATGCAGTAGTTTTGTTCTAACGTCTCTTAAGATGTTTACTCGTTATTTATACATTTTATTATAAATCGTTAACTTTTAATTACAAATCGTTTTTTAAAATTATCAAAAAAAAAAAGTACCACTCGAAGCTGTAGTTTCCTCGTTCTCTAGCAAAGTCCTCCAGCCAGACCCAATGGTGGTGGTGGTGCTCCGAATCCCAGTCCAAAGCCACCGCCAGCGCCATAACCAGCTCCAAAGCCATAGGAGGCGGGCAGAGCTGCACCACCACCGAAAGAGCCTCCATAGCCACCCAAACCTCCGGTCAGGCCACCTCCGAAACCACTCACATAGCCGGCACCACCGGCAAGAACAGGAGCTGCCACTGGCGTGGACACTGAAGTGACCACCGGAGTAACCACAGCGGATGTAGAAATGGCCGGAGCAGCTCCCACAAAACCACCGGAGAGGCCACCAGAGTAGCCACCACCATAGCCTCCAGCATAGCCGCCGCCATAGCCTCCTCCGACTCCACCGCTTGGCACCACCGACACCTTGATCACTTTCACCACGTTCTCAGGAGCATATCCATAGCCAGCACCATAGCCTGATCCATAGCCCGATCCATATCCATAGCCAGAGCCATAGCCGGAGCCATAACCAGAGCCATAACCATATCCAGATCCATAGCCCGATGTGGTTGCTCCTCCAAGCAGAAGATTCAGTTTGCCAAAGGTGGCCTCTCCTGGTTTAACTAGAGAAACCATCACAATCGCCGCCAATCCCATGTAGAACTTCATGATGATGTAATATGTGTACTTAACTCCGGTGTCCCAGCTAATCCAAAATCCACTCTTGACTTTGCCACAACGACTGATGAACTTTGGTGACCATACCATCGACTTTATACCCAGCCAAGTCGAGTTCCTCGACAATAGTCGGCGATTGTTCTGTTCCAAAAAAGACCAGCAATGTGTGAAATTACTCAATGGGTTTCGTGGGCTCCGGGACAGGTGAACTAGCGTCACAAATATTTGTGTCAAAGTCAGATTTTCACTCACTGCGGTTTTGGGATTCGGCAGAAGGTTCACATTTATTTAGAACCCAAGAAAACTAACGTAATTTTAGAGCAAACATTGCAGCTTCCAGGGAATTAACACTTTCATTTTCTTTACCACGGGGAGATCATCATGCAAGCGGATGTGCTTTTTGGTTTGGTTTTGGGGGAAACAGTAAGACTCGGTCATTAGTCGTGGGAACAAGTCAATTACTGTAAAGAAACTGAAAGGAAACTGACAAATTAGAAGGTCAATGTATAGATTTTCAAAAAAATTTACGATTCTTACCTGATAAACCTTACTACTATTAAGGTTTACTATTCCTTTTCTAGATGCTGAGTTCCAGGGAAATCAGCCAGGCCAAAACTAGATTGTCAGCAACTAAATTACGATCGCCTTAAAATTAGGAGAAAATTCTCAGTTAATATTAGTTCTTTGGAGTCTTGCAGAAAGGAATATCCAGAAAACGCAACCACCCAACGAACATGAAGAGTCAGTCCAGTGCTCTGAGGAATCTTCGCCAGAAATGTGGTGGCACTTCCACCAGTGACGATGACCTGCCGCCAGAGGTCAAAATAATCCAACAGCCGCCCATCGAAGTACAATTTATCCGGAGTCGTCTGAGGCCACCGAAAGGCCAAAAGTGCATGTACTACAGTACGGATTGGGACAAGTCCGCGCTGGTCAGTAATTTCCAGAAACGGGGTTGGCTACAGGTGCCTTCCTTCAATGGCGAATGGAACTTCTACTGGGCGTGCACCCAGAACTGCCGCTATATCTTTGGCATCGATCATCCGTATCGCATGCGATCCGATCAGTAAGAAATATTACAAATTTCCAGGGACTTAACTAGTAGAGATCTCTCCGCAGGGTTATCAACCACTTCCCGAATTCCGTTGAGTTGTCCCGCAAAGATCTACTGATCAAGAATATCAAGCGGTATCGCAAGGATCTGGAACGCCGTGGCGATCCACTGGCTCAAAGCCATCCGCCGGAAACGAAACTAGGTATTGGAGGCACCCGATATAAACATCTGGACATCATACCCATGACCTTTGTCCTGCCCTCCGATTATCAGATGTTTGTAGAGGTGTTTCATCGCAATCCGGCCAGCACGTGGATCGTCAAGCCATGTAGTAAATCCCAGGGCGTTGGCATTTATCTGGTTAACAAGCTGTCCAAGCTGAAGAAGTTCGCATACGATGCTCGTACTTTTTATCCGCAATTTAACCGGGACACCTGTGTCATCTCCAAGTACATCGACAATCCATTGCTTATCGGTGGCAAGAAGTTCGACCTGCGACTCTTCGTACTGGTGACCGCATTCAATCCGCTGAAGGCGTATCTCTATAAGGAGGGTTTCTGCCGCTTCTGCACCGAAAAGTACGACCAGGCCGAGATCGACAACGTCTTCATGCACTTGACGAATGTCAGCATCCAGAAAACTAACGTAAGTAGGGATAGGATTCATATCCACCATTTTAACAATATAACAACATTATTTCCCAACTCCAGGAAGAGTACAATTCGATCCACGGTGGAAAGTGGCCACTACAGAATCTCTGGCTCTATTTGGACAGCATGCGAGGCGAGGGAGTTTCCGAGATGCTGTGGAAACGCATCACCGAAACCATCCGGCACTCTTTGGACGCAGTGGCTCCGGTGATGGCCAACGATCGGCACTGCTTCGAGGTCTATGGCTATGACATCATCATTGATAATAACCTTAAGCCCTGGCTAATCGAGATAAATACATCGCCATCGATGCACTCGACCACCACAAATGATAGGATGCTGAAGACACGGCTGATAGACAACGTCCTGGATGTGGTGGTGCCGCCAAATAGTTTGCCAGAGTAAGTCATTTTCCATAACATTAATAATTTAATATACAACTTCCAATCCCAATCACCAGTGAGCACTGGGATAAGACGCCCAATCCTGAGCTTTTGAAGAACTTCACCGTTCTGAAGCCCATTCCGCCAACGAAGCTGCCCACTGTTGCACCCGTCCACCGTAAGGGCAGATCGTCCAAGAAAAAAAAAAAGTCCAAGTCCACTGCAATAGCGGCAACCGATGGCCTATCCACTCCACCGCCCGCCGAGGGTGAGTCCAAGACGAAGACGAAGAGCACCAAGGTGAAGCGTTGATGGATCCTTAGCATTTAGTCGTTGGGTGGTTGTGGTCAAACGGAAATCGGAACCAGGACTAATTGTTTATGAAAATTTGTAACTTTTAATTCGCAACTTCGGTATTCGGTATCGCAAAAATTACTTAAGACACAAAAATTAAAGTATCGTATATATTCGCTATACATGTAGGCTTACCCACTAGTTCGGCTTATGTCATATCTAAGGTTCGTATTAACTAAGTTAAGCTGCTTGTCTTTTTTAGAGACCTGGGCCGCGGTCGGCTGCACAAAACTTCTTGTCTAAGCTCGTTAAATCGTTTAGGACAAAAAAAATTATATATATATATATACTACACTAACTCATATAGCTATATGATTTAGATATACATATATGGGTTGGCTATAAGTTTTACTTTTCGCTTCTTGCAAATCCAAACGTTTGCACACACTAAATGGCGTCCGCTTTAAAGCTTAACAAAAAACAAACAAACAAGTTCTATGTACAAATCAAAAAAAAAAAAAGTATATATGTAAATGGTATAGGGGAAAAAAAGATATAAGTTTAAATGACAATGGAAATCATTAAGACCTTTCGTAGTGTTCTGGAAATGTAGATGTTGTTCTCTTTTTTCTTGTTGGCTTTTCTGCGTAAACTAATTATGTACAAAGGCGTTTTTGACTTGGACTTACGGCTAAAGCTTAATACAATCGCAAATCGTTATCGTTTTTATGTCTAAGCACTTTTCTTTTGGGAATACTTTCCTTACTCGATACTCTCTTGGTTTCTGCTTCGCCCAATATGCAAAAATCTTTATATATCTATATATATCGTGAACTTAACTTAGATGTGTGTTTTAGGGTGGGTCAATTGGCTTGAAATCGAATCAATCAAAGTTGTATTCTTGGAAATTTACAAATATAAAATCAATTTTATGTCCCATTCTAGGGGATCTTTGCAAATATACGATGAAAAACTAATGCTGATTCTTTTCATTTAGCAAGAAAACGTCTAGGTTTTGTTTGCTTAATCGAATATCACGGATAGATATATATTCATTAATGGGGATATTAAATAAGTTAAGTAGCAACCTTCTCTTGGAATTACACATCATTTTGAAACCTCAAATTATAAAATATGTATTTCCTTCTGCCTTTGGTGAGTAATCCCATTTAAGGCTTACAATTGATGTTAAATTTACAAATTTCACTTTATAGATTACAACAATCAACCCACCCCTGATGTGTGTGTGTGTGTGATTTATGGAATTCCCATTTTATCCAAACTAAGAAACTTATTATATGCAATGTGTTCAGCACTCGGTGGCGAAGTAGAAGACCTCCACCTCCTCGTTGACCTCGCTGAGAATGACCCGGTTCTCGGCTAGCACATCGCGAGTGGCGCGCGCTTGCGCCAACACCTATAGTCACACCTTGGAGGCATGTGGCTGGGAACCGGCAGCACTGCCATATTGCGATTGTCCGGACATCTTCTGAACAGTTTGGTAGGTGGGCTGCTGCTGCTGGAGTTGCTGCTGCTGATGTTGCTGCTGCAGCAAATGGGCGGGTATGCCACCATTGCTCTGCTCCCTAATGGTCACCTGGGTCACAAACGGACCCCGACTCCGGGCACTGCTGTTCAGACTGGCTGGCGAATAGCCATTCATGGCAGCCGCCTTCCAATGCGGCACATTGATGGGCGACGAGGAGGATGAGGTGGCACTGCTGCTGTGGCTATGCTTAATGCTGCCCACCCTCTGCTGCTGCACGGTCTCGTACTCGTAGTAGCTGCTCATCGGACGCACTCCTCCGTTCGACTGTGACTGCGGCTGGGCCAGGGATCCAGGCTGGGATCCGGAGCTCGTCGAATGCATGCTTACATCCTGCGAGCGGGCACTCCGCTGGGAATGGTAATTGTGATGGCGGCGACTGCGGAAGCAAGTGAGGAATGTCAATGAGTAATTTACAAAAATGAATGTTTCTTTTCTCAGTTTTGAGAGTGAAAACCAAAAGCATTAAAATTTTATAATCATAAGTTAGTTTGATTCATGCTCTAAGCCTATTACCAAAAAAGCTGCCTTATATCTACGAACCGCACTGCACTGCTTGTGGGTAGTAATGATGGTAGTGTGGGTGTGGGTGTAAGTGGGTGGGTTACCTTTCCGCCTCGACCTTGATGCGCTGCCGGATGACCTGCTGTCGCATGCACTCGAGTGTTGACTCCGAAAGCGTTTCCGAAATGGCTTTGCTAGAATCACCTCCACTGCTTCGTTAGTTTTTACCAGTGTAATTGTTATAGTAGTAGTAGTAGTAGTGGTGGTGTGTGTGTTTGGGTGAGTGTGCGTGTGTAGGTGGGTGGTTATCACATGGACAACAACATAGATACGCGGAACAGACAGAGAAAAAAGGGGGCGAGAAAGAGACACGACATGTACATGGTTAAATGGCTAATAAAGTTGATTAAACAAACAAAAGTTGGTTAATATTCCGACACCCGGCCAAATGAAGGGATGCAAAAGATGCGCGGTCCCGCTCTCACCTAATCTGGTGCTGCTGATGCTGCTGGTGCAGGTCCTCGTAGTTGGCATAATGCTGATAGCGATGATTGAAGATGTCATTCTGATGGATGCCATTGCTACCAACGCCATTCGGAGCGGGCAGCGGTGGCGGTGGTTGATATGCCGGTGGCTTGCCATTCCTCTCCAGAGCAGCCAGTGCAGCGGTGGGAATTTGTTGCTGCTGCTGTTGCTGCTGGTGTTGCTGCAACTGTTGCTGTTGTTGCTGCTGCAACTGCGGTGAGGTGGCTGTGGAAACCACTGAAGTGGGTGGTGAAATGTTTACCGCATAGTTATCCACCGGTACCACACCATCCTTGCGGTTCTTGCCAAAGCGGAACATGTGCCCAATGCCGCGCAGGATGCTTGGTTTCTTGGCCCGCGATGACTTGTTGCCATGTTTGCCATCGTTCAGGGAACTCTGGAAGGGTCCATTGCGCTGCGAGGCAAATCCGCCCTCGTGATCGCCCTCCTCCAAAAGCCAGGTCTTGCGGGGCTCTAAAAATAAGCAGACATTAATCATTAATCAAATTACTGGAATATCCATTTCTAAACCAACTCACTATTGGCGTCCGGCTCGCTGACCACTGCCGCCCGAAGACTATCCTCCCTGCCACGTCCACGCGGCGCTCGCAATGCCTGATGGCCACGCGGCTCATCCGACATCTGCAGCTCCTGCACCATCGTTTGCAACGACTCCAGTGACGAGGACTTCTTCATGCCCAGCGATGGACCCAAATCACCCAGCTGATCCCTGGCCTCCGCCTCGGCAGCTGCCAGTTGCTGTTGCGTCTCCCTTTGCTCGATGCTGGATGCAGTCTTGGCATGCTTATAGCCCGAGAACTGGGCATTAGCACTGGCTATGCGAGCCGTGAGCGATTCAATGGAGCCACCGTACACAGCCGACTTAGTCAGCTGAATGCGACGCTCTCGCTCCCGCTCCTCGCGCAATTTCTTATTCCGCTGATAGGTTCCAGTCTCACGGGCATCCAGCGCCGCATGGTGCTTCTCCGAGATACTGCGACGTCCCAGGGCATCGCGTGAGAAATGCTCCACGCCGGAATTGGTTTCCAAGCTCAATTGCGAGGAGTAGGTGGCATCAAAGTTGCTGGAGGTCGACGGTGTGCCCGGCACTACTACGGGATTAATGGGTGGCCCCTGATTGCCGGCGGCCAAATTCTGCGATGGATTGGCACTGCTCGGGTTGCAGTGCTGCCCATCGTGCGGACGCGCCGGCAGGGTTCTGTAAATAAAAATCCAACAAAGTTAGTTAGTAATAACTCTATATAGAAGGTAATATACTAGCAGACTTACGGTGACATCGGCTCGGCATCGTCTTCGATAAGCAGCGCTGTATTTCCATGGCCAGTTAGCAGATGCATCTGCGCTGGCGACCAGTTATCGTTGGTGGCCATGTAGTAGCTCTCGTTCCTCAGAGCTGCACTGCTGCAAATGGGCGCCGCTGGCAGACGTCGCTGTTGCTGCTGGGAAGGATGTGGCTGCGGCTGCTGCTGGTGAGACTGCTGTGAAGATGGCTGCGCTGAGTTCGAGGAGCAAATGCCACCGGTTAGGCGATCCAAAACGGGATTGCTCCATCTGTAAGGCAATAGATTTGGTTAGATTTCTTATTCACTTACTATATAATCTGATTTATCCTACCGATTCATTTCATTGCCGGTACCACCTCCACTTCCGCTGCCGTTGCAGCGCTGCTCACGCTTCTCCGGACTCAAGTAGATGACCGTTGCTCCGGAATTATCGCTGGCATTCGAGCTGCTGTTATTGTTATTGCCGCTTCCATTCGAATTGCTGCCGCCGCTGCTATTGCTATGGCTGTGACTGTGACTGTCCAAGATGTCACTGGAGCTGGCCGATCGCAGAATCTTGCGGCCCACCAGCAGGGTTATGGTGCCAGGATGCTTGCCAGGCGTGTTGACCATCGCCCGGCGCAGTGTCTCCATGGCCTCGGCATTGTTTTGGCCACGCAACGATACACCATTCACGCTTAGCAACTGATCGTTCATCCGCAGGCGACCATCGCGTGAGGCAGCACCACCATGGATCACATTCTTCACGAATATGCCCAAGTCGCCGTCGTGCTTCATCAGTCCATTGCTGCCGCTGGAGGCACTCGATCCAGAAGCGTTCAAATTCGAGCACGTCTTGCCCTTTACACTCACTCCGAGTCCAGCCTTTTCGGTGTCGTGAACGGGAATGTGAAGGGTGAGCTCTTCGCGGGAATGCCAGCTGTTGCTGTTGGGTGGCAGGCTGTCCTGTGGGTATAAAAGGAAAGAACTGTATTAGTAAAGATCCAATTCTCCAGATATTCTTCTTGAACTTACATTTGAAGCCGCCGATTCACTGCCCGCATCGATAAAGTGCTGAGATTCGTTGAGCTGGGATTGCTGCTGGTGTGTGAACAGAGATCGGGCACTGCTGGACTTCTGGACCGGAATGGGAGGCGCTGCTGCAACGGATGTAGCAGCTGGAGCCGCAACTGGTGGAGCCACCGCCACGCCAGCATTCTTCTCCGCCGGCTGGTCAGACTGCTCTGCCAATTCCTGCTGACGGGACACCACTATCCTCACAGTTGCACCCGCTGGCATGCCTCTCAAAATGGCCACCACATCGGTTTGAGTTTTGCCCGTCATTGGAGTGCCATCCACTTCTAGTAGACGATCTCCGGGCTTGAGACGTCCATCCTCAATGGCAGCTCCGCGTGGCAGGATATTCTTGATGTAGATGGGGCAGTGACCACCGGCGGGATTATCGCGTGTTGTGACCGAAAAGCCCAAGCCATTTGGTCCCTTCTTCAGCAGTATTTCGATTTTCCTGCCCAGCTTACGGGTATTGGCCACCTGCAGGGAAGTCCCAACGGGAGCAGCGTGCGGCTTGCGTGTGGGTGACACCGTGGCCACCTCCACCATCTCGGCCACCTTGGAGTCTCGCTGCTGACGACGATTGCGATCTCCGCGCAGCACTCGAACCCTCAGTTCTGAGCTCTCCAAAGCCCGCCTCAGTTGCTCCTGGACCTGTGATTCGGTAAGTCCAATCAGCTTGATGCCGTTGATCTCCAGAATGCGATCATCGCGACGCAGTCGTCCCCTTTCGGCACGACTGCCCGGCTCCACATGTTGCACCAGCAGTCCACCGCCATGTTCCTTGTCGGGCAGAGCAGTGAGTCCTAGCGGACTGCCATACTCGTTAATGATCAGCAGCATTTCGCCATCCTTCTCCCGGATGGATTCGTAGGCCTGACCCAGTGGCTCCTTTCGCTTGCTCTCCCTGGGCAAGGACTTGCTAGAGTAGGCACCATTTTGGTTGTGGCCAGAATGATGACCACCCTGCTGGTACGTTTGCTGGGCTGGCGGTTGGTTCTGTAGCTTCTCAGCTGCCTCCATCCATTTGTAGCCATTGCCATCGCCCAGAAACTGCATAGACAAACGTCCGGATCGGGCAAATGGCTGATGATTACCGGAGGAGCCTCCTCCGCCATTTGCTGCATGTGGCTGCTGTTGGTGAAGCAACTGTTCCTTGAGCTGCTGACTGGGATCGTCGTCCTCCTCCCACTGTGGCGACAGCTGGCCACCGGCCTTGTCTAGCAGCAGGCGTTCCGGAGAATCTCCGCCAGCGTAATGGGGAGCCGCCGCCGACCAGCGTTTGTTACTGCCCTCTGCCTTGAGGGAGGCCAAAAGATTGGGATCACTGCTGCGACGCACCATCAGTCCAACTCCCAGCCCAGCCATTGGACCCGATGTGGTACTAGTAACTTCAATGTGCGGCGTGGACAGATCACGCGGACAAGTGGGCGCCTCCGTGTTGGTGGGATCGCGGAAAATGTCTGGCGAACCGGTACCTACGGACGAACTGCCCGACGCTCCATCGCCGCCTCCCTGCGGTACTCCCGGATCCGGTCCTGGGTCATCGAAGTGCGCCAATATCTGTTCCCGGTCATCGGCCACGTCACGTACATAGTCATCCGGATCGAGGATACCCGACTGTGTCTGCAGATGTGTCACGGTCACCCAGGAATCGGGCTGAAAATAAAAGAAAAACGGAAACATTAAAATTTTTTGTTTGATTTTTGTTTAGATCGCAAAGTTCACTTTATAGAGCACATACTGTATCTGCAGACGAGCAGATCTTGCATCTGTTATTCCCATTAGACTGCTGGCTATGGAAGTCTTTCCCAACATCCCAGCCCTCTCCCAAAAATCAAATCTCGAATTTAAAATCTTCAATCTGGAAGAGCTCGGAAATACAGGATTCAATGGCAACGTCAAGAGCAAATGTTCTTGCAATCGAACGAAAGACTGTCGGTCCTTGTAGCTCAGTTTGACAAGATGTTCCAAATGATGGTGTCGATGATGGGTCTTGTTTCTAAATTGCTACCACAACACCCTCTAGGAGGAGCTGAAGCCTTCGCTGGATCTCTCCCGGTTCATGTAACGCAACCATGAGTCAAATCGGCCTTAACATTGGTGTGTGGAACGCTGACGGTCTCACTAGCAAAGCCCTTGAGCTAGAGCTCTTTGTTCAAAGCCATGATATTGATATTATGCTAGTTAGTGAAACACACTTTTGTTCAAGGTCATATTACAACTTGCATGGTTACGATACCCATCAAGCGAACCATCCTGCCGATCGGAAACGCGGTGGCTCTGCCATAATTATAAAATCCTGCCTTCAATGTTACCAGTCTTATAGTTTACAAAGTCCAAATATTCAATGTGTCTCAGTTAAAAGTCAAAACCGTCCTTGGTGAAATATCTATTGCGTCTATTTATTGTCCGCCTAACTTTCAATGCTCTGCCGAAGACTTTGAAAAACTCTTTGACGATCTGGGAACAAACTTCATAATCGCTGGTGATTGGAATGCCCACCATCGACTCTGGGGGTCTCGAAATTCAACCTCTCGCGGAAGAGCGCTCGCGGAACTTGTTCAAGGATCAAATTTCCAGGTCCTTGCAACTGGAGGACCCACACATTATCCATACAGCCAGAATTCGCCAACAGCCATTGACTTTGCAGTCTACAGAGGGATACGCCCGGAGAGTCTTTCTATTACAGAATGTTTCGAACTGAGCTCTGATCACATTCCACTAATAATTTCATTAAGAGTCGCTGCGTTAAAAATCAGTCGGCGGCCTCAAATTCTTCCTCGTAATGCAAGTGTTCCGCGGTTTCAGGCGGTAATTAACAGACTTGTTAATCTCAATATGGTGCTCAACTCCCCTGAAGATATCGACGATGCAGTTGAAACTTTTGCTCGGAACATTCATATCGCTGCGGAATCGTCAACCTACGGGCAAGTCTCCAAACCTTCCAATCCATCTCAGGCACTTTTAAAACCTGAGATTATGGACTTGGTAAGGCTGAAAAGATCATTGCGCCGTAGATTTATGAGGTCCCAAGATCCAGTCGACAAAAGAGCATATCGACGTACTGAAGACGAGCTTAAAAAACTCCTGCGTATAACCAAGCGTGAGTTCTTTGAGGAAATGCTTCTCAATGCGGACCCCAGCAAACCTTACGGCTTCAATCTCTGGAAAGCTACAAGGAAATTAAAAAGGCAGCCTCTTAGGAAGATCCCAATTAAGAAAACAGACGGTACATGGTGCAAATCAGACTCAGAGATCTCATTAGCTTTTGCCGAAGAACTAGAGCAACGCTTTCAGCCATTCAACCTTGCGAGCTCGGAGGATGTCGCTGACACTCGGGCCTTTCTCAACTCTCCTGCTCCGGATGCACTCCCCATAAAGCACATAAGTCCAAAAGAGGTTTGCCTCCATATTCAAAAGCTACGCTCCAGCAAGGCGCCAGGATTTGATGGCATTGATAGCAGGGTTGCTAAGGCTCTCCCTAAAAAGGGAGTCCTGTTTCTTGTTCTCATTTTCAACTCGATGTTACGTATCCACCACTTCCCGTCCCAATGGAAGTGTGCCGTGATAACGATGATTCCAAAGCCAGGAAAACCGGAGAACCTTGTTGGATCATACAGGCCGATAAGCTTACTACCTACGTTCTCTAAAATATTCGAGAGAATATTCCTTAGTAGAATTATGGGAGTAAGAACCATACAGGACGCCATTCCCGACCACCAGTTTGGTTTTAGGAAGCAACATGGGACTCCTGAGCAAGTCCATCGAGTTGTGCACCATATTCTGAATGCCTTTGAAAACAAACAATACAGCTCTGCTATCTTCCTCGACGTTAAGGAAGCCTTTGATCGCGTGTGGCATGATGGCCTGCTGTATAAGCTGAAATCTCTTCTCCCGACTGCCCAATTCCTCTTACTTAAATCATATTTACTTGGTCGAAGTTTTATGGTTGAAGTAAGAGGAGTGAGGTCAAGCATAAGATCTGCTCGTGCTGGGGTTCCACAGGGGAGTGTCCTGGGTCCCGTGCTGTATACTCTGTTCACTTCTGACCTGCCTTGTCCGAATGAACCAAACACACTTCTGGCCACCTACGCCGATGACACGGCGTTCCTAGTCAACTCCTCTTGCCGTATCGAGGCATCAAGAATCACCCAGGAATTTCTGGACACATACGGCAAGTGGACCAACAGGTGGAACATAGCGATTAATGGAAGGAAATCACAACACTGCTGTTTCGCTTGGAGAGTGCAGTCCCTTCCGGAGGTCAAACTTCACGACGACATCATTCCGCAATCATCACAGGCGCAGTACCTGGGCCTCATTTTAGATAAGCGCCTCACGTGGAGGCAGCATACTTCGAAAATAGCAGCTACTTGTCGTTCCAAGCTTAGGAAACTCTACTGGTTGCTTAAGCCAACGAGCAAGCTAAGCCTAGCTAACAAAGTGCTACTGTACAAATCAATTGTGGTGCCCTCGATGATGTACTGCATCCAACTATGGGGCTTGGCTTCGGATTCTAACGTCATGAAAATTCAAAGGGTTCAAAACCGGGCGTTACGCATGATTGCAAATGCGCCTTGGTACGTCAGAAACAAAGCTCTAGAAGATGACCTCCACATTCCCTCTATTAGGGAACAGATAAACAGGCACTCGAGTCGGTATAACGATCGTCTCACAGCTCACACAAACCACCTAGCCTCCTCGCTAGCTCACACTACTATAAGAAGACGTTTAAAGCGAAGGCATCCAGCCGATCTCTGGACAAGAGGACGCCAAATTTCTCGAGTCCTAAAGCAGTAAATTTAGCATTAGCATTGATCTCTAGTTATCTAGTTATAAAAATTTGTTAATTTCCTTCCTGTTAGGTATTTATGTTATTTTGTTCTATGTAGTACTCAACGTATTATAGCCATTAAGTTGGCTGATTGACGTTTAATAAATATTAATATTGTTATATCAAAAAAAAAAAAAAATCAATCTGGAAGAGACGCATCGTCTCGTGGATTCGCTTCTCACATCCATCTCAGCACATCTGGTGCTTCCGCATGGAGCAAGCGCTTTACGTGTTGAGTCACTACTACCATATCATCGGTCGTCCGTTTTCGCTGTAGAAATCGTCGACTCACGTGGGCTCAACTTGAACTCCCTGAGCGACGCCTAATAAGCCAGACCACGACGACCTCCAGCGCCCCAAATTGCAATCTTCTCGTTGTGCCCAGAGCTAGAGCCAAGGAGCTGGCGGTGTTGCTTTTGGCATTCCATTGGATTCCACAACAAATGCCAAATGCCGGCCAACAAGGGCACTTAGAGAAAATACTTTGAGTATTTATAAAGTTATAGAAACTAATCTAAAGGTTTCTTTTTCGTAAACTATATTTCTAACATTTGGTAATCACTTTTTTCGAAGAATATTTTCATAATTGCTTTATAGATTGTATATTTTCTTTATTTGTATATATCTGCAGTATTTTCTTTCTGTGCTTAAGAAACAAAACAATTGCATCATGACTGGAAACCAGTCAAAAGCGTTGGAGGCTCAGCGACTGAGACGGGCTGCAGAACTGGAACGTCGAACGAATCGTCAACTTGGCGCAATAATTTCGGCTATTTTTCGCGTCGTTTTTTATTTTTCTTTATGTTTTTGTTCAGCTTGCCTTTGTTTTTTGGTTTGTTTCTTCACATGGCTTGTTCGATGCCTTTGTTTGTGGGTCAAAGAGCGCGCACATTCAGGCATTCTAAGTATCTATCGGATGCAGCTCCGATTTTTGGGATTCCAAATCGCGATTCGCCGCGGTGAATGGAGCGTTGAAAATGCACTGCACCGGCACAGTGGGTCAAAGTAATCAGCTTAAAATTATATACAAATATCTCACATTTTTTTCTCCATATTCAATCGCTTTTTACCCACTGTAGCTGGCTGATTATATTTCTTTATGGTCATTTGTCAATGGAAATTATGCGGCAACGAACAGACAAACACGATCTCGTTCTCATATATCATAAACAGAAGATTGAAAATGCAATGTGGGCGTGGTCGCGGGGGGGCTAACAAGTGTCATATCCAACTATAGGAATGCCAAAAAGAGATTGTGATTGGATTTGTCATGGCTAAGCCAACGGCACGTAAAAAATTATTATCATGGAAATCCGTAATCAAATTAATGGAATATTTGCGTAACTCTAACATGATTTTTTAATCAATTTTTAAATGATTTTATTCAAAGTTAGTACTGCTCTATATTAATCTATAAAATTCTTATAATTTCATAAATTTTCTCTCAGTGAGCAGCTCTTTTCGAATCTTGAACTTGTTCAACATTTTTTATATTTCAATATCTGTGCTTTTTCTGCCTATTCCTATATCATTATGTCTGGTTGGCTTCATGATTTTACCTTCACGCATGAGTAGGCCGAGGGCGAGGGCGGCCGCTTGGGCAGGGTGAGGGAGTAGGACTTGTGGAGCTGCCCATGAGGAATCCCCTCGTGCTTGGCGGCCACCTTGTAGGTGTGTCGCCAGCCAAAGAGACCGCCCAACTTATTGGCCAGTGCCGGACATTTTGGCGGTACGTCGAACATTCCAAATCCGATCTTTGGTATTTGCTTATTGGTTTTATACGCCTATATAATATTTATTCTTGAATCGTTTGAGTTTTTTA